GATGATGATGTCCATTGCTGTGTGATGGCTTGGAATTTAATTTATTAAAGTCAAATTGGAGTTTATAAACTGGACAACTGGTTATCCTTTGAAAGGTGAATGGGCAATGAGGCCATGTGTTGATAGAATGGGAGGATCGGAGACAGGGGCCCAGATGGTGAGGTGGGGTAGGCGACACACCTACTGGGTCTGCTAAGAAGTTCCTGCAGGGAGGAAGGGAGGTGTAGAGAGAGGACTAGGAGAACAAGAGTCTTTGAAGTGTGAAGTTGTAGCAAAAAGGTCAATCAGAAAAAGAAGTCAATCGGCTAGTCCAGGCATCTTCATGCCCCTGTCTTGAACAGGCTGCTGCTTCCAGGATATAATAGAGTCCAGAGCATGGACTCTGAGTCTAGACTGCCTGGATTTGAGTCCCAGCTCCACTAATTACCTGTGGGACCTTGGGCAAATTATGTAACCTCAGAGTGCCTCAGTTTTCTCATCTGTAAAATGGGGACTGTGATAATAGTAGCTATCATTCAGTTGTGGTGAGGAGTAAATGAGTGAAGTGCTTAGAACTCTGCTGACATATAGTTAGTGCTGAATAAGTGTTGTGTTGCCTCAGAAGAGACAAATTGGGAGGGGGGAGTATTATAAGGGTTTCATCATAATAAAAAGTCTTTCATTTGCAAATGTGGGCAAGTTTCAGAGAGTTATGGATACTAGCAAACTCTACGTCCCTGGTTCCTGTTCTCTGAGACCTTACACAGGACTTGAACCAGGTTAGCTGCTGCAAGATGTCAGAGCACTGGACAAGGGGCAGAAAACTTGAGTGTGCCATGGTCACACCAAGTGACCTTGAGCAGACCACTTCTCCTTTCTGGACCTCAACTTCCTCATCTCTAAAACGAAGGGTGGCCTAGATAATTATTCCAGTCACTTCCAGCCTTGCCATTCTTACTTACCGACATCACAGGGGGTTCCAGGCACAGGGGGTGCCTTTGGGTAGACAGCATGGAATTGTTAATATTCCCCATGCTCCTGCCCATACTAGTCACAGAATAGGGGATATTTGGTTAATTTGTATATAGTGATATGCTCAACTCTAGGTCATGAAAACTCCAAGAGATTTATCAAGCTACTTCCCCTGATCTAAGAAATGCAACCTTTTGTGGTTCACAGAGGAGCAGTTTGTTTACCAATATCACAAGACAGACTAATGCACTGAACTTGAAATTTCCCAAGAAACATTTGTTGATGGGAGGGCAGGTATTCAGAGTCCCACTGGACCTGTGGATTGAGTGGACGGTAACTAGAAGTTGTACTCAGCTTCCAGTGCTGAGCTGCCCAGAGCTCAATGGAATCACATATATTTTGAAGTGAAGAAGAGCCTGGTCACCTTCCAAAAATAGGGATTTTAAAAATGAACACAAATCACATATGTATGGTGACAGATAAAAACTAGACTATTAGTGGTGAACACAATACAGTCTATACAGAAACTGAAATATAATAATGTACACCTGAGATTTACAAAATGTTATAAGCCAATATGACCTCAATTAAAAGAAAAGAAAAGAAAAAATTTCAGATCAAATCCCGGGCAGTACTTTAGTTTCCATTATTTAGATTTCAGAAAGATCTAAGATGATGCTTCATAGAATCTTTTAAATAGACAAAAAAAGAACACAATCTTTGACAAAGGAGCCAAGAACATACAATGGGGAAAAGAAAGTCTCTTCAACAAATGGTGTTGGGAAAACTGGATAGCCATATGCAAAAAAATGAAAGTAGACCCTTACCTTACACCATACACAAAAATTAACTCCAAATGGATTAAAGACTTGAATGTAAGACCTGAAACTGTGAAACTTCTAGAAGAAAACATAGGCAGTACGCTCTTTGACATCAGTCTTAGCAACATCTTCTCAAACACCACGTCTGACCGGGCAAGAGAAACAATAGAAAAAATAAACAAATGGGACTACATCAAACTAAAAAGCTTCTGCACAGCAAAGGAAACCATCAACAAAACGAAAAGACAACCTAACAATTGGGAGAAGATATTTGCAAACCATACTTCTGATAAGGGCTTAATCTCCAAAATATATAAAGAACTCATGCATCTTACCAACAAAAAAACTACCAACCCAATTAAAAAATGGGCAAAGGACCTGAACAGACATTTCTCCAAAGAAGATATACAGATGGCCAACAGACACATGAAAAGATGTTCAAAATCATTAACTATCAGGGAAATGCAAATCAAAACTACAATGAGATATCACCTCACGCCCGTCAGAATGGCTATAATTAACAAGACAGGAAACAACATGTGTTGGAGAGGATGTGGAGAGAAGGGAACTCTCATACACTGCTGGTGGGAGTGCAAACTGTTGCAGCCACTATGGAAAACAGTATGGAGATTCCTCAAAAAATCACGGATAGAACTACCATATGATCCAGCCATCCCACTGCTGGGTATTTATCCAAAGAACTTGAAAACACCAATTTGTACAGGTACATGCACCCCTGTGTTCATTGCAGCGTTATTCACAATAGCCTAGACTTGGAAGCAACCTAAGTGCCCATCAAGGGACGAATGGATAAAGAAGATGTGGTATATATACACAATGGAATACTACTCAGCCATAAGAAACGATGAAATCCAGCCATTTGTGACAACATGGATGGACATTGAGGGTATAATGCAAAGTGAAATAAGTCAGAGGGAGAAGGTCAAATACCGCATGATTCCCTTCATTAAGTAGTAGATAATAACAACAATAAACAAACACATAGGGACAGAGATTGGATTGGTGGTTACCAGAGGGGAAGGGGGGAGGGAGGAGGGTGAAAGGGATAATTCGGTACATGTGTGTGGTGATGGGTTGTAATTAGTATTTTGGTGGTGAACATGATGTAATCTATGCAGAAATAGAAGTACAATGATGTACACCTGAAATTTTTACAATGTTATAAACCAATGTTACTGCAATAAACAAAAAATTAAAAAAAAATAGACAAAAAAAGAACACAAAAGGAACACAAAACATAATCTAATCAACTTTTTCCATTTTACACTTTAAGAAGAGATCCTCAGCTTTTGATGAGCATGAATTATGTTTTAAGTTTTTGTGGCAGCTTTTAAAGAACAAATCTCAGGATGTGTCTGAATTATCCAGACAAAATTGTGGCTTGTTTTCAAGAGAAGCAGATTGAGATGGAAGTAAACTATGCCAGACAGCAAGACACTGCCTCAAATTTTGGAAACATGTGGATCCCAATGCTATCTTGAAACTTGCTTTGTAAAAATTGTTTGAGTCTACACAGGCTCTGTGAATGAACTTTTTCTTCATGAAATTGCTAAATTAAAGCTGAGCCATCTTCAGTCATATAAGTCTGAATTAAAATAAGATTGGCATTTTGTGAAGTATTACTATAACTATGTGCTTTTGAATGAATAAAGTTGATAAAATATATTTTTGTTACTTTTGAATTGTATTTTAAAACCCCTATTTTAATATAACGACAAAGCTATAATTCACTGTTGTTAGTAACAAATTTCATGCACAAATTTCTGATTTTACTATGACTTTGCTATTTTTAACGATGTCTTTAAGTTCATTTTATTTATATTGAACATTTAATGTGTTTTCTGACTATATAAATTATATAGGCTTATTTTTAGGTTAGAAAATATAGAAAAATATAACACAATAAAATAAATATCAATCCCAATGAACTTTACTAAGGTACATAATTTATTTAACAAATATATCTTGAACCCTTACTGAGTTTCAGCCATTAAGCTAAGTGATGGAGTTATAAAGGTGAAGAACACATACAATCCCTGCCCTCCCTCACTGACCTGAGTCTGAGGAGTGCAGACAAGTAAACAGGAAAATACAATACAACATGATAGAGCTGTAATGGGGAAATACAGGAAAGGGATGTCAAGGAAGACTTGGAAAAAGAAGCACCTTCACTGAGACCCAAAGAATGAGTACGAAATCAGTCAAATATATGTAGGAGGGGGAGAAGGGGAAGATTGTTGCAGGCAGAGGAAACAGCAAGTTGTACAAGGCAGGAAAGGTATAAGGCGGCTAGATGTGGAGAAACTGAAAGAAATTTGGGGCTGAAGAGCAGGAAGTGAGGTGGAGAAGGACTCAAGACACGGTTGGAGAAGTATGCAGGGCCCAGATGGGGAAGAGTCTAGAAAGCCTCAGCATGGTTTGGGGGTTTTGCCCCGAGGGCAACATAATGCCTTTGAATGTTTAAGGCAGGATGGTGGTTTGATCAGATCTGCTCTTTGAGGGCTCTGTGGAGAATGCTTTGGCGAGAACAAAGAGGGCACGCAGTGGAACCAGTTAAGTTAGTGTAGACATCGTTGATGAACTAGAGCGGGGGCGGTGAAGGTTAAGAACGAGGGATGAATTTGAGAGATCCTGTGTTTAAGGAAGTAGAATCCCCAGGATTTAGCAATGGACTGGATGTGACGCGTGACAGAAGAATAGAGGATGCGGGTTTCTGACTTGAAGGAGTGGATGGATGACACGTTCGTTCACACCTGGTCACAGAGAGGGCAGAGGTGTGGGGCAAAGACAGGATGGCACAGGGATATCGATATTTAAGAGATAAAAAGTTTAAGACGGTGAAGGGTAGAGGTAGGATCCTCAGTCTGGGCCGAGCCGGGCTGGCAGCGCTGGGCACCCAGCCTCGCACACCTCCTCCTCCTCCTCCTCCTCCTCGGGGCCCACGCTTCCAGCTGACACAGTGAGCTACGAGAGGAGGAAGACCCTACTCTGCGCCCTGCCCGAGCCTTGCGCATGCCCACTGGGTGCCGTGCGCCGAGCCTGCGCAGTTGGGGGAATTCGGGCCCTTGGGTCCCCTGCCTGCGCCCCCGGCGCCGGCAGCGCTACCTTTCCCAGCGGCCCGCCGCCCCTCATTCCCGCCCCTTCCGTGTTTTGGTCGCGCACGGGTTCCGTCAGTCGCGGCGGCCATTGGCTGCTGGAGAAATCCGAGAGCGGCGATTGGCTGTCGCTGGCCGTCGCTCAAGCACTCTCCCGGAGATGGTCCGAGGTGGGAGGAGAGCTGGAGAGACCCGGGAGCTGAGGGACGGTAAACTGGGACTCTGGAATTGGCCGGGTAGCGCCGGGGGTGCGGTTTGGGCGGGCTTCCAGGCCAGGCTCTTCCAGAGTCGCCTCGTCGAGGCTTCCTCTTACAGCTCAGCCACGGTGGTCTGTCTGGCGCCTGCAGCGCCCCAAATCCCTAACCCCAGCTCGAACCTCTCTGCTTTCTCGTCCGGGCCTTCGCTGCCGCTGAGCCACGGTCGCCGCCACGCCTTAGGGGGAAGAACTCCGGGAGGCCTGCGGGGCTGCGAGGGAGAGCGTTTACCCGCCGGGACGGTCTCCTTTCTTCTCTCTGAATTTTACCCGTCCTTCCAGGGGCCGGGTCTCCTATGCCTTGCTTAGGGCAAGCCTTCCCTGCCTCGCCTGCCCTCTGGGATGTCTCTCTGTCCTGATCTCCCTCATCGGGCGCTTTGTTTTGGTCGTTGTCTTCACACGTCAGTCTTATCTCTTCGGCCAAATTGTGAGTTCTTAGGAGATTCAGGACTTGGGTCCCTCCTTTTCTTGAATACCATTCAGGGTTCATTCAGTGCCTTGCGTTACAGTTTATACTCTTAAGTATTTGCCGATTGCTTCTTACCATGACTCCTGATGAAAAGAAGTGTGAGGAATCCCTCAGGTTGTCCTGTAGTTGAACTTTTTTGTAGAATTTGTGCTTAGATCATCTCATCCTCAGAAGCAAGGATGCGAATAAACTTGTTGAGTTCTAACCGTGTGTTATGCTAAGCATTTTAATATCCATTGTATAGTTTAGTCCATAAAGCAATTCAATGAGACAGGGGTAATTATTCCCATGCTACATGGGGAACTGAAGCTTAAGTCACTGGCCTAAGGTCATATAGCTAGTAAAGTTATGTGTAAATGTTGGAGCTTCTAACCAGATCTGTTGAATCCATCACCCATTGCTGTGATACTAACATCTCGTTTTACATTTAAGGAAACAGGTTCAGAGAAGCTGAATGATTTGTCCAAAAATAAAGTAAGAAGTTATAGATTTACTTAAACATTAAAAGAGCTCATAGTAGGTATGTGCTGGTCCTGTAGTTAGAACTGAACAGGGCACAGGCCAGGCTTTGTAGGAGCTCACAACTTACTGGAGGAAACTGACAAAATAACTACTTAAAACAGGTTTTGAGTATTGTGTATACAGATATGTCTGTGGGGAGGAGGGAATCAGACAAGGAGAGGTAAGACAGGAAGATGTTGGAGGAAAATGGAGCCAAACTTCCTGGCTTTGAATTCTGTCTCCATCACTTCCTAGTTTTGTGACCTTGGGTAAATTATTTAACCTGTCTGAGCCCATTTCCTCATCTCTGAAGTGGAATGAGGGGAGTACCTACTTCACTAGGGTTGTTGTATTAATAATGAGTTTTTAAACATATAAGACACTTAGAACAGTGCTTGGCATATGGTAGATTTATTCAGTAGATGTTGTTATATTATTCTAGGCAGAGCAAAATCATTGAGAGAGAAAACTTGAACACAGGTCTCACAGCTGGTCCATTGCCCTCTCCAATATACAAGTTGCCTCGTTTGCAATCCTTGCCTACAGAAAGAGGAGTTGTGACCAGATAGTCACTCGGTCCCACAACTCCCAGGGTAGAAACAAGCAGGGCACAGGGAGAGAAAGTAAAGAAGGCTGGGGACAGTAAAAGAGGGATTCAGGGAGCTTTGCCTAAGTTTCAAGTCATTCTAGATATCTAGATAGCTTGCCTCTTGGGCCTTACCCACCAATCTAACAACAGGTATGTGTTTAGAATATTTGCACTCAGCACTATGCTGGACACACTATAGGGACACAGATGAGTGTGATATGGTTTCTTCTCAGAAGCAGCTAATATTGTCCAGTTGGGTAAATAAGACTAGAACACACAAAACAACTGTGAGTGACCATGGCAGCATAAAAATAGGGTTAAGATATTCTGGTGTCAGTTATGTTAGCCATAGAACCAAGAGGCAAGAGTAATCTGAGGGGAGGAGTAGTTTAAGAATGCTTCATGGAGTCCGATCAGATCTCGACATTTATTGAGTGTCTGGAGAGTACAAAGCTCTGTGCTAATGCTGGGAATGAGAAGTGAAGAAGTGATGGTCCCTTCCCCGAGAAGCACCTGGTCTAGGGGAGACAGACATTCCATTCCATTGTAACAAGTGCTGTAATGAAGTGTGTACAGAGTGCTTTGGGGACAGGAGGTGGGATACTCCAGCTGTACGAGGATGAATTAGGAAAAAACTTGCCAAGGAGGGGACATTTGGGCTTGAAGTGTGAATAAAAGTTGCTTAGGCAGAGTTTTAGGAGAATGTAGTGTCTTTAGGGACAAAGATGATTGAATCAGAGAGGAAGAGGGAATGAATGGACAGGACAGGAAGCCAGTGACACAGCATGATGTGGGGGGAAGAGCGTGATCTTTGGATTAGAATCAGGGTGCTCTTAACACCAAATGAAGTGAAGTTTGAAGAGGGCTCACCACAGGGCTGATACACGGTAGGCCTTTCCCAGCTCCTGGAGAGGTAAGTTGAGGCCAGTTTGAGAAAAGCCTTGCGTGCCATACTAAGTGGACTTGATCCTGTAGATAGTAAAGCCAGCGGAGGTTTGGGCTGTGATGTCTGACTTAGGAAGGCTTTCCCTACTTTTCCTGCCCCAACATTATAAAAGTAGTTCACTTATAAAAGGGCTTCACTGTTATAGCAGCTGAGCAGCTACATGTACACCCCAGAGTGTCAAAGGTGACTGCTGTCTTCTCAGAGGAGGGGCAAAGGCTGTGGATTAAAAGGGGTTTCTCTGGTAAGCAGTTAGATATAGGTTCTTGTACTTGTAGGCATGAAGGATTTTGTGTACAGGCATGCGTCGCTTAATGATGGGGATATGTTCTAAGAAATGCGTCGTTAGCCAATTTCGTTGTTGTGTGAATATCATAGAGTGTACTAAAGGGGAACAAAATTTGCCAGCCCAAAATGTGTCTCTTTAACATGAGGATTATTTTAGGCTGATTATTTTTAAGGAACAAAAGACTTCTTAACTGCCTAAAAGAATTCAGATGTAAAAAAACCTGTCTCGGGAATTGAGCTATCACCTTAGCACAACATGAACTAGGTGGTAGACAGGGAAGAACCTAGAAAAGCCTGTGGATTGGGCTCCTCTCTGTGTTCTTCTGTTTCTGTGTGGCCAAACACTTGTTTTCCAAGTGTTTGCTCCTTTTCACCTACCTGTGAATTGCCTTCCTTCCCTATGAAGTCACTGACTCTCCCCACCCCCAATATCTTTTGTCCTTAGCTGAGGATGGTATTTAAGGTGAGGGCTTTGGCCATTTTGGTGAGTCACTCCCTTTTCCTGGGTTTCTCCCATGTGTACATGTTATTAATTTTGTTTGTTTTTTCCTTGTTAATCTGTCTCATGTCGATTTAATTCTCAGACCAGCCAGAAGAACCTAGAAGGGTAGGGGAAAATTTCTTCCTCCCCTACAGTACTTACATAAACCTTGATCGTATAGCCTATGATACACCTAGGCTATATGGTACTGTTCTTCGGTCAATCGTCATATATGCGGTCTGTCGTTGAGTGAAACATCGTTATGCAGCACGTGACTTTAATTTTGTATTTTCTGTTTCTTTCCTGTCTGTATGTAGTAAAGGCCTTTTTCAGAGTTCCCACATATCTCAGGTAGGCCAGAGGGAGCAATGCCTCAGTCCCTTCCAGGGTCCACCACTGTGGGGGCAGCAAGAATCAGTGAGAATCCTTAAGGAGGAGGTGACACTCAGGGACAGAGTCAAGGCCTCTTAGTATCCCCTCTCCCATCAAACTTTTGCTTGCAGTGTCATCCTCTATCATTCTGTAATGAGGGAAGCTATTCTTTTATTGTTCCTCAAACTTTGCTCCCGGAACTGCCAGCATCAGAACTGGGGTGCCAAGGTGAAAGGGCAGATTTCTAGGCTTAACCCCAGCCTTCCTGTAGGAACCTCTAGGGAAGGGGTCAGAAAACTGCATTTGTATGCGTATTAAAGATTGAGACCTTTAGTTTTTTATTCAGCCTTCTTCAACAAATGTTTATTACATGCCTAAGCATGCCTCGCCCTGTATACACTGGAGGTATGTATTGCTAGACAGATATGGCCTGTTGTGTTCAGATGGAATCTACATTTTAGTTCAGAGGATGTTAGGGGAGTGGTGGAGTAAACCACTGTATAGGGTAGGCAAATTGTACGGCACTTTGAAAGTCTGGTGGGGGACTTACCACATGATGCAGTGAGAATTAAGGAGCTTCTGGACTCCTCTGCAGGTTCTGTGGATTAGAAAGAATATGGACTTGGAGTCAGCCCAGGCTGACCCTACCATACCACTAGTCTGTGACCTTGAGCAAATCAGTTCACCTCTCTGAGTCCTTATCTCAGGGAAGGCCCCAAGTCCTTATCTATAAATGAAGTTAAAAATAGTACTTACCTCATAGGGTGGTGTCGGTAATTAAATGACACAGTGTAAATAAAGTGCTAAGTATGGTGGTTGGCATATAGTAAATGTGAAATTAAAAGCAAAAGGTTTTGTTATCCTCATTTGGAAGCTGAGATGTTCAGGAGTAGAAGGGTTAAGTTACTTGGCCAGGGTCACACAGCTAGTAGGTGGTAGACAGAGGAGTTTGGATTTGAACTCTGATCCTTCTCCAAAGCCATCTCTTTGAACTTGAGCATTGTTCTGCCTCCCATAGGAATAATTCCTTCTTGTTAGGTTGCTCTGAAACTTTGTGAGAAAATGTCTGTTAAAGTTCTTAGCTCAGTGCCTGGCACATGCTCAATAATGTTAGTTTGTGTTCTCTCTTCCCGAGAACACCAGACAGCTTCCAGGGGTTTGAGGAACTGCTACTCCATCCTCATTGAAAAAGCACAGAGTTTCTCACGGGTCATTGGAAAACGCCTGCTGGCTCTAGGTAGGATGCCTGCCCAGCTGTTGAGCCCCAGCGGCACTTGGGTGGAATCCTTGCAACCGTGGATTTCTTCCTCCTCTTCTAGGGTGAAGGCCATGCCGCCCCCTGGGAAAGTTCCCCGGAAGGAGAACCTGGGGCTCCAGTGTGAGTGGGGTTCCTGCTCCTTTGTGTGCTCGGCCATGGAGGAGTTCTGCGAGCACGTCACTCAGCACCTGCAGCAGCACCTGCACGGCTCCGGGGAGGAGGAGGAGGAGGAGGAGGACCCGCTGGGTAAGGGAGCAGGGCACAGCAAAGGGAAGGAGCTCAAGGGAAAGTGGAAAACCTGACTTTCCTTTCCCCAGAGGGAGAAGGCAGCCTGAGAGAATGGTGGTTTAGTTTCCTAATTGTGCTTTTTTTGTCTATAAAAACATTGTAGACTGATTATAGAAAACTGATTCAACAAGGACGTATGGAATAAATCTGTCATCCTGCCGTCAAAAGGCAATTACTGACAGCAGTTTAGTGAACGTTCTTTTTGACCTCTCTGTGCATGTGTTTACATAAATTAGATAAATCTGATTTTATTTTTTTAAAAAAGGACAATATTGTACAAGCTGTTGGCAAACCTGCTTTTTTTGCTCTGTGATAGTGTTTCTCAATTTTGTTTTTTTTTTACTGCGACCACCAGTTAGGAATATATCTTATATCACAACCCCATACACAAAAGTTAAAAAATACTTGAAACAATACTTGCTTTTATTAAATGTTCTCTGAAATGTTCTATCTTATTCTCTTTCATTTAAAAAAAAATGTGGTCTGCAGTCCCCTAAATTGATTTCACCACCCACTAATGGGTCACAACAGAGTTTGAAAAACTCTGTTTTACAGAAAGTACGGAGGCAGCTCTCCTTCCCGCACCTCAAATTCTGTTTTAAGTCTAGTGACTGTGAACTATAATAGTTTCAAAAGTCAATGTTTATATAAAAGAGAAGTTAGGGGATTATTATATATTTTAAAATATCTACTTTTCAAAACAAGTAAATCCCTATAAAGCATTGAAAGTATGGTGCTTAGAGAGAAATGGTAGAGAGATGGGAAGTGGATTGGAATAGTCGATGGGCATTCTTGGAGCAGGCAGATCCTGGGTGGAACATGGGGGTAAGAAGGACTTCTGGTTTCACAGGAGGGAGTGGGAGGTGTCCCAGGTTGGGAGACAGTATCTTCCTCAGGGAACAAAGAAACTCAGAGGCAGTTTCTGTACATGCCAGCCACACCTGCTTCTCTGAGTTTCTGGCACTGGGCCCCTTGCTCACACCGTTCCCTCTGCCTGGACCACACTTCTTCTCCACCTAGTCTACAGATGCTTGCCCTTCAGATCTCAGCACAGGCACACTTTCAAGACACCCCTGTCTACGTCAAATTACTTCTGTTTAATTATGTTCTAGTGTCACGGGACCCCCCCCCTTCAGAGTCCTTATGACTGATGCAGTTTTATATTCATACATGTGATTATTTGATTAATGTTTTTTCTTACTGACTGAAATCTCTGTGTGAGTGAGGACTGGGACTCTTTTTTACTAGTTGTTATATCCCCGGCACCTGGCACACAATTGCTGGTCGTTAAATACTGGTATTTGCTGAATGAACTCCTCGTAATTCGGTCAGAGTCCGGCCTAGTCACTCGATGCTAAGTGCCACAGATGGAAGGAGAGCTGAGCTTTGGAAAGTATCAGATTGTTCCTTCTAAACCCCTTTCTGCAGAGGAAGAATTCTCCTGCTTGTGGCAGGAGTGTGGCTTTTGTTCTCTGGACAGTTCTGCTGACCTCATCCGCCATGTCTACTTCCACTGCTACCACACCAAGCTGAAACAGTGGGGGCTGCAGGCCCTGCAGAGCCAGGCCGACCTCAGCCCCTGCATCCTGGACTTCCAGAGCCGCAACGTCATCCCAGACATCCCTGACCACTTCCTGTGTCTGTGGGAGCACTGCGAGGTCAGCAGGCGGTGCCTGTAATAGGGTGGAAGGAAGTTGGGGATCTTAATTCAAGATGCCTTGACCTTTTCAGGGATGACCTATATTCGAAGGTCCCTACTAGTATCTCTCCTTCATTTCTGGGTAGCTCCCTTGCTCAGACTTCCGCATCCCTACCAAGTTAATTTGAGAGAGAACAAGAAGCCCCCTTTGGGCACATAGGGGTAAGAATCTGTCCACCCACCCTCAGTCCTTACCCCGAGTTGCTCCTGGCACAGAGCTCTTTCGACAATCCCGAGTGGTTCTATCGGCACGTGGAAGCGCACAGCCTGTGCTGTGAATACCAAGCAGTTGGCAAGGATAACCATGTGGTGCTGTGTGGCTGGAAAGGTAAGGCCACTCCTTAATTTCTGGCCTCTAAAGAGACCCGGGGATTACCAAGGGGCTGGGGCAGGTAGGGATGGGACCAGTCCTGCAGGGCAAGGTTGGCTGCTGGCTGGAGAGACTTGGGGATACCAGAGCCCACTCGGGGTTTGTGGCTGGAGCCTGACCAGGCCTTCTTTCCCAGGCTGCACCTGCACCTTCAAGGACCGCTGTAAGCTTCGAGAGCACCTCCGCAGCCATACCCAGGAGAAGGTAGTGGCTTGCCCCACCTGTGGGGGCATGTTTGCCAACAACACCAAGTTCTTAGATCACATCCGTCGCCAGACCTCATTGGATCGTAAGCAATCAGAGAAGAAGGGGAGTGTGCAGGCTGTCTTGCTTGGGTTGGGGGTTGGGGGCACGTTCCCAGGAGAGGGGGCCACTGAAGGTATCTTGGCTACATCTACCTTTAGGGCTCAGTCACCTGCCACAGTCCCTGCTGATTCAGATTTATTAGACCTTATTATTCAGTGCTTACTGTGCCAGGTCTCTGATCTCAGTGAATCCTCACAACAGCCCCATGAGGTAGGCTTCTTATCCCCCTTTTTGCAGATGAGGAAACTGAGGCTCAGAGAGGTTAAATCACTTACCTGAGATCACACAGCTAGTAAGTGGTCAAGCCGGGATTCTAATTCAGGTTCTTGACTCCAAGTCCCATGCTCTTTCCATGATACTATGTCCATCCATAGTTCCCTAAGCTCCCCTTTTCTCCTCGGGTGGTTCCCTTCTGCCTGGGATGGTTCCCCTCTCCTCCCTGTGCCTCTCTGCTGTCCCCCATAGCCCACCCTTTCTTCTGCCTGCCCCACCCCAGAGCAACGCTTCCAGTGCTCTCACTGTTCCAAGAGATTTGCCACGGAGCGCCTATTGCGGGACCACATGCGTAACCACGGTGAGTAGCCGGCCACCCCTAACCTCCTTGCCCACCCTCCAAGTTTCCACTGGCCCTCAGTTCACAGCCTCCTCTCTGCTCCTCTTAGTGAATCACTATAAGTGCCCTCTGTGTGACATGACCTGTCCGCTGCCATCGTCCCTCCGAAACCACATGCGCTTTCGCCACAGCGAGGACCGGCCCTTTAAATGTGACTGTTGTGACTACAGGTAAGGGAAACCAGGGGCCAGAAATCAGAGAACTCATGTTCCAGGGTCCCCCATGCCCTCCAATCCCTCCTGACCTCTCCTGGCAGCTGCAAGAATCTGATCGACCTCCGGAAGCACCTGGACACCCATAGCAAGGAGCCAGCCTACAGGTGTGACTTTGAGAACTGCAGCTTCAGTGCTCGATCCCTCTGCTCAGTCAAGTCCCATTACCGAAAAGTGCATGAAGTGAGTGGAGCTAGTGGTGGGAGAGGGCTAGCAGGAGTGTGGGTGAGCCCAGGGGGAAGAGCTGGCCTCACTCTCCCTCCCCTCCCCATTAGGGAGACTCAGAGCCAAGGTACAAATGTCACGTGTGTGACAAATGCTTCACAAGGGGCAACAACCTCACCGTGCATCTTCGCAAGAAGCACCAGTTCAAGTGGCCCTCAGGGCACCCCCGTTTTCGGTATGTCTCTCAACCCTCCCTGCTAGATTCACACATATTTTTTCATATCTTTTTAACAAGTTAAAAACCTTGAATTGGATGGTGCTTGGATGTCCACCATCTCCATTTAGGCCCAAGGAACTCTGAGAATAGTAGTGGGACAAAGATTATTTTTCTGATTTTTGAACCTAAGACATGGTGCTGAACCCAATAAATGGTGCCAAAAGTCCTGTAGCCAGAACCAGAGCCAGAGCCTGAGGGTCCTGATCTGTAGCTCCATGGCCTTCTCATCAGTCCTTGACACCCCCACCTTCCAACACACATAATTTGTCTCTTTCTCTCTTGCTTGGGTTTCTACATAAAATTTTCCATTTTGGGTAATAACACTTCCCTCTTGTCTTTTCTTCTACATGTTCCAATAAAGATCTTTTTTTCCTTGCTTCCCATCACTTAGAATCCCAGGGCTTCTTCCGTCCCTCACAGTTGCCCCTTACCTTGCCAGTCCCCAGGCCTTTTCTGCATCCCCTGCCCGTGTTTGCTGCCCTGTGTGCTCCTGCTTCACCAGGTACAAGGAGCATGAAGATGGCTACATGCGGCTGCAGCTGGTTCGCTATGAGAGCGTAGAGCTGACACAGCAACTGCTGCGGCAACTACAGGAGGGGTCGGACTTGGGCGCGTCACTGAGTGAGAGCAGCCTGCAGGGCACCCTTCTAGAAACAGTGCCAGGGGAGCCAGGACCCCAGGAAGAGGTGGAAGAGGAAGAGGAGGGCGGGGGCGATGAGGGGACAGCCCTCTCAGCCTCTCAGGACACTCCCAGCCCTGTCATCCACATGGTGAATCAGACCAACGCCCAAGGCGAGCGAGAGATTGTCTACTATGTGCTGTCTGAGGCCCCGGGAGAGCCCCCCCAGCCGCTGAGTCCCCCGCAGGGGGCATCGTGGAAAAGCTTTGGGGAATAGCTGAGGAGCCAGAAGTGCGGATGGTGTGAAGGCTGCAGAGCCTGACCCCAGGCCCTGGGGTTTGAGCCGGGCTGGTGGCACTGCCTCTAGTGGGCAGCTCTTGCCAATGGATGCCTTTAGGAGGGATGCTGAGAACAGTGCTGTCTGCTCTGGACCCAGCTTGCGTCATTCAGCAGACTCGAAGGACTTCCCTTTTCTGCCAGGCCACATTTTGTGGGAATCCTGAGGAGTCTGGATTCTTTGAGGGGGACACCCTGGTGGTGTGTGTTCTTGTACAGGTGGCTAGTATCAGGCTTAACCATAACCCTCTAGACATGCTGGAACAGTGATTAAAATCTGTAGTCAACTCGCATCTGTTCCCGTCTTTAGGGGTCCTTAGGCCCAGGGGTGACGTGTCACTGGTTCCTGCAAGGGCCCTTTCCTCACAACCAGCCACAGCATTGTGAACGAGGCAGCCATTTCCCTGTAATGGGTTACTCCTACAACCCACGGTCTTTCATGGTTATCCTCAGGGACAGGATTGGAGGCACTGTGTGTGTGTGTAACGGTTGTTTTTGGTAATAAAAGAAAACACTTGGGCTGTTACTCATTTCTTCTTCCTTATGTTTGGTAGCAGTTAACTAGATAATGAGGAGATATGGCCGCCCAGAGAGGAGCTGAATAATCACCTTGTTCCTCTTTTAGTGACTGGGGTTTGTTTTTGTTGTTTTTTTTTTTTTTTTTTTGAGGAAGATTGGCCCTGAGCTAATATCTGTTGCCAATCTTCCTCCTTTTTTCCTTTTTTTCTCCCTAAAGCCCCAGTAGATAGTTGTATGTCATAGTTGTACGTCCTCCTAGTTGCTCTATGTAGGACACCACCTCAGCATGGCATGATGAGTGGTGAGTAGGTCCCCGCCCGGGATCCGAACCTGTGAACCCTGGGCTGCCGAAGCAGAGGGTGTGAACTTAACTGCTGTGCCACCGGGCTGGCCCTGTGTTTTTGAACAAATGTAATCCTGCTTCCCCTACCAGGCCTTCAGATAGTTGAAGACAATTGAGGTTTACTTACTTTACTTACTTATTTACTCACTCATTTATTTATTGATTGATTAGTTCATACATTCATTGTATTTATTTGTTCATTCATAATTTATCCATTCATTCATGCATGCATTCATTCATTTATTCATTCAGCCATCCATTCTTTCCTTCCTTCATTCATTTATCCATCCATTCAGTCTTTCATTCCTTCCTTCATTCATTCATTTATTCACTCATTTATTTATTGTGAAGCCACTGCCCTCTAGAACCCCTAAGAATTTATGTATTTTACTATTGCCCAAACCATGATTCTTAACTTTGGATGTATGCAGTTGTTACCTTGGACCTCACATCAGGCCCTCATGTTGGTCCTTATTAAATTTTGTCCTGTTAGACTTGGTTGACAGCTTTCTCCAAGTGGTAGGTTAAAAGGTTGAATAGAACAGGGGCAAAGATAAACCCCAAAGGCAAGTCATTAGAGACCGTCTCCTAACCAAGACCAGATGAAGACTTGAAAGGCTCTAAACCCTGAAAAGACTGTGGTGCCCCCTTCTCTATTTGTAATTAAAAATGAAAATATTAAACCATGAAGCATATATAAGGAAGTTCAACATGACTACTTTATACTTTCAAAATATATATATATATATATTAACTATCATAATCTGCTCTCAAATTTTTTCTTTCGTTTTTTGATGCCCTTCTTTTGCTGGTGTTCTAAGCAGTGGCTTGGGCTGCTGCTTGAGTAATCCAGCATTACTGACACCATCCATTCCTCTGTTGAGCAGTGCCTTCAGGATCAGGCCAGCACCCTAGGAAAAGGGCCTTCCCTAGCAGTCTTATGAGTCCTGCTCACACCAAATCCCATTGCTCTGTCTGGATCATGGGGACGGCAGAAGAGATTTTGGCCTGCTGCCCTGTGGGATTCCAGTTCTCTGGGAGGAGGGGATCCTGGGCTCAGCATGCGTGGGTTAGAAAGCACTGGACCAAGAGTGAAAGGTTACTGAGTTTAAGCAGCCAGAGGCCTGTGGAAGGATATTAGAAGCTGGGGGTGGGTGAGAGACCCCTGGAGGGAGGGTGACAATACTAATTTAATTGCCTTAGAGTTTCATCTAGTCAGCCCATGAGTCAAACATCATGGTGTCTGCAGATTAAGGAGACACTCTGTCTCCTTAAAGTTACCCTCAAAGGGTTTGGGGTAGGAAGAGAAGGCAGGTGGCCCGGGAGTGTGGAAGCTGATGCTTCTTTTCTCTTATTTTGGGCAAGTCCACGACCTCAGAGAAGAGCACAGAAGAGCTGAGTGGGTATAAAAGAGAAATGATTCTCCAAGATGAGAAATGGGAGGAATGGCCATGGGGAATCAAGTTATTTCTGTAAGGTGATGACTTAGTGAATATAGGCACTCAATGAATGGTAGATGAATGAATGAATTTTGCTCAGGATCAGGAATCCCATGGTGCATTTTGGGAATGAGGAGCATACCCATTTCATGTAGCAGAGGAAGTTGAGGTTGAGGGAGGGTTGGGGGAGATTGTGAAAACCTTTTCATACCATGCTAAATAGCTTGAATTTTTTGACTGGGCAAGAAATATGGAGGACAAGTAGGTAGATGAAACTTGGAAATTAGTCGAGATGCCCTTTGAGTAGAGGGAAAGAGGGATGGATGGGAGTGGAAGCAGATTTAGTTTGTAGAAGCTGTGAGGGAAGAGTGAGGCACGAGGGGGATTTCATGCCTGCCAGTCCCTATTTCCTTGAGAAAGTAGCAAGTAAGCTTATTGAGGGGTAATCTATTGGAGTAAGGAGATTTATAAAAATTGTCAAGTTTTAGAAGTGCCGTTAATAGATATGGGAGTGAGATTGGTCACCTGATGACCCAGCTGAGGTTGAAGACCAAGATCAGGCAGTGGCAACTTCAACACAACCAGACACTCTTTTGTAGCAGACACTAGCAACCCTGGAGCAAAAGCAGAAGACAGTCCTATCTTCACAGCCAGAGCCTGACAGTCAGGACATAGATTGCCTGGAGCCAAGGAGCAGAGTAATTAGAGCAGCCAGAGAAGGATCATGAGGTCCAGGCTGGACCGGGAGGCCTTGGGAAACTGGAAGGTAGTAGTTAGAATCAAAGCCCTGGAGGTTCCAGTGAGGCTTCTGAAGATTAGAGGGCAGGAGGGAAAGGTTGTGGTCAGAAAGGGGACATTTTTAAATGGAGCTATTCAGAGTCCAGAGTTTGTCCACAGGGAAGTAGGCTGTGAGTGGAGACAGAGGCCTTTGGAATAGAAGAGACCAAGGGAAATAAGGCATTTTGAACGCCTACCAGCAGTGACCTTTCTGCCTCACCCTCCAGTGGAGTGGGCCCTGTATTAGGAGGGGAACAGGCCCCAGAGAAAACTGTGCAGATACTGGGTCTGAGGCTGGTTCCATGCAAAGGATGCAGGCAAGGCGTGTGGTGGGAGTTCAAGTTCTAGGAGAAGGAACACGGCAAGCTGAGACTGGGAGGAGGGAAGTGTGTGGGTTCTCAAGAAAAAAGAGACAGAGACTCTTGGGCAGAGAACCTGGGAATTCTGCAGCTTTGGAGAACCCGTCGTTTTTTTCTTATCCAAAGGAAATGGCACTACAGAGCAGGAGAGAGATGGAGAGATAAATATTACACTTTAAAAAATACACTTTGATATTGTTTGATTTTTTTATATATGTTATATTCTTATAATTTTAAAACAATAAAGATTTTTTTTTAAAGAAACAGCAGGGACTCTGCCTAGTAAGTACCCCTCCACCACCCCAACTCTGTTGCCTCTGCCCATCTTCACGGCCTGCCTCAGAGGAGGGCTCTGTCGGCCTCCCACTTTATCCACCCTTCTTTCTCAGTCCTGGGCTGCATGTCCCCAAGTGGCCAGCAGAGGGTCCTTCTATTGACAAATACACTTTAAAATCATTCTGTTCAAAGATGAGAGACTGTCACAGTGGGCAAGCGAGGCACTGTGGATGAGGGACCTCGAGTGGTGGAAGCGGAACGGGGTCTCAGTTCCAATGTCCTCAATCCAGCTCCTTCCCAGGACGCTCCTACCCTCCTTTTCCCACAGGTCCATAAAGCTCCTTACCAACTGCTCCTGCAAATCCCTGCCCAGAGCAGCCTGTCTGCTAGATTAGCTCTGGGCACTAAGCTGAGATGGGAATTTTCTGCTTCTGCCTTGCTTCTGTTAAGCCAATTATCATCAACCCTTACCTGCCTGGGTCTAAGGAACCTGTCCTGGATGGAGGCTCAGCCCTGGGCCGGGCTGGGGGGGGGGGGGCGGTCCGGGGTGGGAATTGAGGAGGATCCTAGAGAAAGGAGAGGATCAATCTCAGGGAATGGATGAGGTCTATTTGGGGAAAAGCGGGAGGGTCCTTCTGGGCATTGAGAGAAAGTCCACGGTAGGAGATAGGGGGCTTGTTCTGGAGATGATGTGGTCTAGACTGAGGAATGAAGGGTCTCTTGAGCAATGGTTCTCAAAGTGTGGTCCCCAGACTAGCAGCATTAGCATCACATGGGAACTTTAAAGATGCAAATTCTCTGGCCCCACCCCAGATACGGCATCAGAAACTGTGAGTAGAGCTGGCAATCTGTGTTTTAGCAAGCCCTCCAGATGATTCTGATGTGTGCTAAAGTTTGAGAACCACTGCTCTCAAGTTACGAGGTCTCCTCCAGGAGTTACAGGTTTGTGTTCCAGGGAATCAAAGGCCTCTCCTGGGGGATATGTGGTGGGAGGGGAGAGTATCTCCCAGAATGGGGAGGATCTGTCCTAGTGGACCCCTAGAAGGTTGGAAAGGTTTTCTATCTAGAATGAGAAGAGGTCTGTTCAGGGGAGTGGAGACAGATCTGCTTTATAAAATAGGAAGGTGACAATATGAGGGAAAGCGAAAGTTTGACGTAGTAGATAAAGTCATGGTTTAGAATCACTAAGTCTTGGATTTGGTCCCTGGATCCGTGACACTAGCATCACACTAGATCCATCACATCTCATTCTTGTACCTAACATCTCTGAGCTTCAGTTTCCTTATTTGAAACACGGGAGGATAATACTGACCTCATAAAGTTGTCGTGAGGACTGGTTAGACCGTTCAGTCGACTGATATCTATTAACTATGTTTTCTGTGTACAAGTTCTGGGAATTCGGGAGAAAGAGACAGACCTAGCTCTTTCCTCAGAGATCATATCTCTATGCTGGGTGCTTAGCACATAGTATGAATTCAATAGATGTGGTTTCCCCTCGGCTAACAAATGGGAGAGTCTTCCGGGGGAAATGAAGTGCCCCTGAACCATGGTAAATCTGACCTGGAGAGTAAGAATGTATGCTCTATTCTTGAGATAAAAAATCATCATCTATTACTAAGCACTTGGACACTTGAACCTCATAAGAACCTTTGGAGGCAGATATGCAGGATTTTTATCAGCTCCATTACATGGATGAGGCTCAGAAAGGTGGAGAAATTCGCTTAAGAGTACAGAACTAGTAAGAAATAGTGCCAAGGTTAGAATGCAAATCTCTCACTCCAAGTTCAGGACATGGAAGAAGATGTGTTCACAAAATGAATAGGGGATGTCCTAGAGAATGAGGAGGGCTGTCCCAGGGAAGAGAGAGGCCTTTAGTGGGTGCATAGCAGATGTTCTAACCCAGGGAATGGAAGGTTCATCCAGGGCAGTGGCTCAACATTGCCTAGCTAGTGAGACCAGCTGGGGAGCTTTTAAGAATCCTAATGCCTGGGTCCCACCTTAGAGGTCAGAAATAACTGATTTGGAGTGCTCCCTAGACACCTTTTGAAAGTCCCCCAAGTGATGCTCTCAGCCAAGCCTGAAGACCTCTGCTCTGGGACATGGGGTATGAATCCCAGTGTGGAAAGCTGATAAAAGACTTGGAAATGTTGGTCTCTGAAGATGGGGAAGCCTATCCTGAGGAATGGGGGACAGGGTGTTCCTAAGAAAGGGGAGGAAATTTTCCTGAGAATTGGACGGTTGTATGCCAGCGAATGGAGGGGGATGTCATTAAGATATGGAGGTTATCTTGGGAGAATGAAGATCCCGTTTAGAAAATAGAGGGAGACAGTCCATTGGGAATAGGGTTCTGACAGTCCCTGTAGCAGAACAGATAAAAGCAAGGACTTTAGGGTTCAAATCCTACTCTGGTACTGACTGAATGTGTCCTCTCTGGCACATTGCTTAACCTCCCTATGCCTCAGTTTCTTTGTGTTTAAAGAAGGCTTGTAATACCTGCCTCATAGGGATACTGTGAGGATAGAATGAGATAATGCCTGGTCCATAGTAGTTGCCCAATAAATGCAACTGTTGGGGATGGGAAGTCTATAAGCAGTGCACTGGAAGTTAACTTGGAGAATGTAGGCCCCATCTGGAGAATGGAAACGTCCTGAGGAATGGTGGTGATGTGGGGCATGGGATGGCGGAAAGAAGGGAGGGCTGGGTCCAAAACCCACATAAACTTCACAGTTACAGGGTGAGGCCTGAAGATGTCCAGCAGGGGCCGCCAGCCTCTGGGCTGTAGAGAGGCTGGAGGGGTGCGGGACGAGCAGGGGAGAGGTTTGACCGCTAGTAACCTCTCAGCTGCTGCAGTAGAGAGAAGCCCCGGCGGTGGCAGCAGCAGCACCAGCAGCCTCCCCTCCCATCTGTCTCTGCTGTGTGACAGGTGGGAACTTAAAAGCTCAGGTCACGTGTCTCAGCTGGTTAACCTACTTACCCCTTGAAGACTGGGGCTAGGGCAGGCAGGGGCCAAGAGAAATTACCTGAGAAAGGGGCAGAGCAGGGGAAAGCCCAAGAGTACTCTGGGAACCCACGTTTGAAGGCTTGTGGGGTGAGGGAGAAGATGCCCAAGGCCGTGTCTGAGCCCTGTGCATGCCCTGGCACACATGTGTCTCCAGCATTAGGCATGTGCCTGTCTTAAAGGCTGGAATTTGGCTGGGAGAATAAAGGTTTCTACAGTCGGATCAGGCTAAGCTCTGGGTACCACTTTAACCTTGGAGCTGCCTGCGAGCTCCCCCAAAGCAGCCACCCTCTGTCCCTTCTTAACTAGTCTCCTCCCCCTTAGGGAGGGAAAGCGTGGGGAGAATGCTGGGGAGGGGGAAGAGGATGTCCCAGACTCTGGCTTTCAAAGCCTTTTTATCTAGTTTGGGGATTCCCTGGGGGAAGCCTGAGCTCAAGGGCCAGAACTGGAGGGAAACTGAAGGCAGGGGGTGGGCGTGTGGGGGGGTGGTGCAGACAGGCTGACAGCTTCACAATCCCTCCAGAGTGGTGGAATCTGCGCCCCAATCCCCTCCCCCCAGACACTCACACCATTGTCTAGTCTGTAATCCAGGGACCTGTCCCCGCTGAGTGACTTCAGTTCTCCTTTCCTCATCGCCTCCAAGTCGGCCCTTCCCTGCCAACCCCCAGTCCTTGGTCCCCAACTGCGCCCGCTCAGGCCCCCGCGTCGCCGGCGCTGCTCTCCTCTTTGCCACCCTTGTTCCCCGCGAGCTACGGGGCGGCGCGAGCCCTTTAAGAACAGCAGGACCGGCGAGCAGTAGCTGGGAGGAGAGCGCAGTCGCCCGGCGGGCTCAGGAGGACACGGCGCTGAGGACCAGGCTCAGGGAACCGGCTGTGCGCAGCCAAGCCGGGGCGCGCCCCAATCGCCCCTCCCCAACCTTGTCGTCTCCTCCGAACTGAGGCCGGGGGCCCTCCCCTGCTGCCCGCTCCGCCCCGGTCCCGCCCCAGCCCTGGCTGCCGGGACCGGGAGCCGGGACGCGGGAGCTGCAGCCGGAGGCAGGTAAGGAGGGCCCGGAGTCTCCATCCCCGGCTCGTGGCAGCGCTAAGCATCTTGGCCCCGCACCGGCCCGGGGGCGCGTCAAGGTGACTAGGCATGCGGGAGATGGGAGGAGGGTGAACCCGCTATGGGGCGCTTAGGTGGCCGTGGGGGTCTTGAGTCCGGGCGGTGCACCTGTCTTTGGGGAGAGCCTAGGGCGCGCGGGCCCAGGGGCGCCGGCGGGAGGGGCCGCCCGGGGTATCGCGCCCAAGGATGGGGAGGCGGACGTAGCGGGAGGCCCAGAGCCTCCTCTTCCTTCGCCTTCTCCCTGTCCACCCTGTGCTCACCCTGCTACCCTGACCTCCTAGCGGACAGCCTCCGCCAGCTGCCCCTTCCTTCCTCCCGGTCCCCCCAATCATCCAGTCCCCAGGGGCTGCTGGCCTGCGCGGTAAGGAGATTAGAGCTGCCGCGGGGAGGAGGCTGCCGCAGAGGGCTTCGAGGGGCCCGGCTGGGGCCGGGGCTTCCTGGGACCGAGGAGAGGTTGGGACTGAGTGTTGCTGCGCCGGGAGTTGGGGGCGGGGAAAGGCAGATGCTCGGGCAGTGGGAAGTAGGGTGCTCCCAGTAGGGGATCTGCCCTGAGAAGGAGGCAGGGAGTGGGGGCGGGGGCAGCATTAGAAAGCAAGGGAGCTTCGAGCCGGGGCTCGGGGTCTGCCCCGAACTGAGCAGGCCATCTCTCTGCAGGCCGGCCGCGTGATGGCGGAGAAGGCGCTGGAGGCCGTGGGCTGTGGGCTAGGACCCGGGGCTGTGGCCATGGCTGTGGCGCTGGAGGACGGGGCGGAGCCCCCGGTGCTGACCACGCACCTGAAGAAGGTGGAGAACCACATAACCGAAGCCCAGCGCTTCTCCCACCTCCCCAAGCGCTCAGCTGTGGACATCGAGTTCGTGGAGCTGTCCTATTCCGTGCGGGAGGGGCCCTGCTGGCGCAAACGGGGTAGGGAGCAGCCTGGTGGGAGTGTGGGCCCCCGAGAAGTTGCCTCTTCGGGGAGCATGAGGCTTGGGTGTCCCCAGTTCTGCACGTCCTGCACGGATGGGCCCTGTGGGAACACTAAAATCTCACCCCCTCCCTCACCATGCACACAGATGAGGTGCCAGGGTCTGTGCTCCCTCCACACCTGTGAGCACTGTGGGACACTAGGTTGGCTTGGTTATTGAAGCTTCCCTCTTCTAAGTTGACACTATGACCTCTGGTCCTTGAGGGGTCCTTGAGGAGTTTTCCGTCTTTATTTTTAGGTAGAATTCCTGCCTTTGAGGGCTGGTTTGAGAAAGTGGGGGGCTGTGTGGCAGGGATTCTCCTCAGTGGTTAGCAATATCCTCCAACCTATAGAACACTGCTAATTTTAAAAGACGTTCTCATTCCTGTCACCCTACTTCATCCTTGCCAAAGTCCTCCTAAGCAGGGAGGGTGAAGGTTTGCCTGGATAGATGACATCCCGTGTTACTAATAAGGAAACTGAGGCCCAGGGAGGTTGAGTAACTTGACCAATGTCACACAGCTACTAGGTTGCAGAGCTGGGACCAGCACCCAGGATTTCCAGCTCTCCGTGCATTGTTCTTTTTTCTCTCTTAACTTCCTGGTACAGCATTCCCATCTCCTCCTCTTTTCCCCATCAGGACAGGTCTGGAGCTCTGACTTCCTTTGAATCCTGACCATACCCTGCATCTCCTGCCCTGGGCAGCTTGAGCTGGGAATAGAGAAGCGGGTTTTTTTTTCCCCAGAGCCTGGGTGTGGGTGAGGGGTGGAGCTGGGACATTGTTCTCTGAGCTTTAAGAAAGAAGTCTGGGGTGCATCAGAGCTGGGCTGAGCATGAGCTGTCTCTGCATTCCCCACCCTCACTCCCATGAGGGACCAAAAGGTCACAGAGCCTGAGCCAATGGAAACTGAGGCATCTTGGCTCCCTGCCCGGTGCCCTATCCTAAGCAGCCTCTCGGCCCTGAGACCAGCTCTGGGCAAAATGAGGAGGCAGCTGTTATTTCCTTAGCCCTCTCATTTCCTCACAGTTTTAAGGAGAAATGAAGACAAAAAGGAAAAGTGGCTAGATGGGCCAGCTCTTTGGTTGCTTCAACCCACCAGCCACAAATTGGCACCCCTGACCAGGTCCTTCCTTCTGACCTCGCCAGCCCCGTTCTGCTCTACTGTCCATTTTGCTGCCTCTTCTATCACTTGCCCGTTTCTCTGCCCTCTGTCCTCCTCTCTCTGGCTTCTCTTTTCACTTGAATCTCTCTCGCCTTCTCTGGAGGACAGAAAGCAAGCAGGGGTAGTCAGGGAGGATAAAGAGCCCTGGGTGTGGAGAGGAGTGAGGGAGACTTGTGCCTTTCCCAGGTATGGAGTTGTCACCAGTCTCCCCTAATTATATATGATGTTTCTTGTTTTTCAAAACATGTTCCTATTAATTATTATTAATCTCACTTAATATTTACAATAGCCCTATTATGTCCCTGAGAGGTGATATTACTATCATTATTTTATAAACGAGGAAATGGAAGCCCTAAAGATTAAGTGACTTGACAAAATTGCAAAGAGAGTTACTGATTGAGGCAGAACTACAACTCTAGTGTGTCTCCATCCCGGAGGCCTGGCAGGCCCCTTCCACGCTAAGGAGGAAGCCCAAAGATGTGGGTTCCTAGCCACTTGTAAGGTGTGTGGCCTTGGGCAGACTGCTTAGCCTCTCTTGGCCTCACTTTCCTCATCTGTGAACAGGGGTGATAAGAATATCCATTGCACAGGCTTGTCGTGAAGCTCAGGTGAAATGTTATCTGTGAACATGCTTTGCAAAAGGCCAGTGTAAGATGATATTTGTATTAGGCGTCAGTGTTCGATCTAGTGCTTGGCTGTGATTAAATGAGGGGAAGGTTCATCATTACCAGTTTCTTCCTCTGCAAAATTATCACTCCCTGTGAGTGGCTCTGAAAGGCATATGCTGGAGTGTACAACCACACGTCTTTCTGATGGATGGTGATGAGGGCTGAGGCAGAGGGTTGGAACCCATGACTTCCCCTCTCCCAGTAAAGAACTTGCTGTGTGACCTTGGGTGACTCACTGGATGTCCCTGGGCCCTAGTTGCCTCATCCATGTTGCTATAGCAGCAACTGAGGTCATGAGCTTTGTAAACTGTAAAGCACCATCCAGGCAGTTGGAGTGATCAGGACACTACAGTGGGCAGCAGCTGATGCCCCTTCTGACCAGATGTGTCTGCAGTGACCGCTGGATGCTGTGGAGGGAGGGTGAAAGATCGCATTCCTTCACTGTCTCTGCGAAGGAGGGAGAGTGGAGAGGAAACTGGGCTCTGTGGGGGTTGGAGGAGGGTCATAGTGAGCAACGTGCCTAGTGGGGATTGGTGTTCCTACCTCACTGAGGCAGGTCTGCAAGCATAGCAGGAAGGCCTGCCTCACTGGCTTCCATCCTCCGCTCCACCCCTCCGTTTCACCAGGTGACTCCTGTAGTCGCTGCCCTCTACTCCCTGGATTGTATTACATATACGGTCTTGTATGGCAGAGCTTTTCCTCCCAAAGTCTGCAGAGCCTCTGCCTTCTTCTTCCACTTTGGAATGCTGCTCATCCTTCAAGACTTAGCTCAAATGGCACCTCTTCCATGAAGCCATTCCTGATTTTCCCCTTGCCCCTCCACCCTCATCAGTTCCATTTTCCGTATTCTTGTTGCACATTACTTGTACTTCTGTTATAGTCCTTATTTTATCTTCAGATCCATAGACGTTTTCCATCTTTTTTACCTAGTCTGTGACCTTCTTGAGAACAGGAACTGTGTCTTCCTCATTTTTTTTGTCCAGTGTCTGGTACAGAGCTTGGAATGTAGTAGATATCAATAAGCATTTGTCAAATGGGATTAATAATAAAACATCACTTTTTAAAGTGCATTCTATGTGCCAAACACTGTGTCATATGCTTTACATATTTTATCTCATTGAATCTTTATAACAACCCTATGAGATAGGTACTATCATCCTCATTTTACAGATGAGGGACCTGGAGCTCAGAGAGGTTAAGCAACTTGCCCGAGGTCACACAGCTGGTAAGTGTGGAGCCAGAATTTGAACCTAGATCCACCTGACTCCAAACCGGTGCTCTTAATGCATATGCCGCCTCCCAATGAGGGAATGAAAGGTGAGATTTGACTGGGCCATGTTAGGGGCTGCAGAGACAAGCCTGGTGGGCAGAAAGAGCACAGTAAAGAAGGCTTTTTCAGAATGAGGCCAAAGCTCTGAAAACACACACTCAGCACAAACACTGATTGAGCACCTAGCACATGCCAGACAGTCTGCTGAGGTTACAAAGATGAGTAAGACACAGACCCTGCCCCCAAGGAGCTCACTGACTAAGAGGCTCAGGGAGGGGGATGAGGGACACATCAAGTAACAATCATGCTGGCATATGAGAAGTGCTGTGGGAACGCAGGGGACAGAGGGCCCGCTCAGGCTGATGGTTGGGAAAGCCTTCCTGGAGGGGGTGAGCGGGCAGCTGCTGGGTTTATAGAAGAGGAACAGGGTGTTCTATAACCTTGACCCTCTCTCCATGCCCATCCATGAGATGGGGGGGGCGGGTTTCCTGTGGCCTTCAGGAGAGTATTATTATCACCTCTGGTACTTTAACATTAGTAGTGGTCATTTCAAGGGGGACCCTAGGAGCCGTGGCTGCTCCTAAGAGTTCGGGGTGCCTCTGTTCACTGTAGCCCTGATCAAAAGCTCCTCCCTCCCTCACTGCAGGGTATAAGACCCTCCTCAAGTGCCTGTCGGGTAAATTCTGCCGCCGGGAGCTGATTGGCATCATGGGCCCCTCAGGGGCTGGCAAGTCCACATTCATGAACATCTTGGCAGGATACAGGTGAGGACAAGGCTGGGGTGGAATGGGACAGGACCCAGGAAGAAAGATCCTCTGGGGAGCATAGAAAGTGTTCTTAAGTGGCCTTGACCCCCATCCCCAACCTATGTTCCTGCAGGGAGTCTGGAATGAAGGGGCAGATCCTGGTCAATGGGAGGCCACGGGAACTGAGGACCTTCCGCAAGATGTCCTGTTATATTATGCAGGATGACATGCTGCTGCCACACCTCACGGTGCTGGAAGCCATGATGGTGAGGGCTGGATGGCCATCTCCTCCTCCCAGCCTCCCCCCTTCCGTCTGCTGTCCCCATCTTTCTCATAGGCTAAGGGGTCAAGGCAGTGCCCCCCTCCCGCACATATCTGACCCACCTACTCTCTGGGCCTCAGGTCTCTGCTAACCTGAAGCTGAGTGAGAAGCAAGAGGTGAAGAAGGAGCTGGTGAGTGGGGAAGGGGAAGGGGAGGGGACAGGACAGGACAGCTGCCCTTTTTGGTGCTACTGAGTTCTGGGGCCCTGAGTTGGGGCGTGGGAGAGTGGCGGCCAAGGCTAGGACAATGGACTTAAGGGAGATGCTTATTTAAATTGGGGCGGTGCCTGGGGGGAAGCAGAGACTCTGGAGCTGACGTGGGGTGGGGGGGTGGGTCTGGGCCAGGTGACAGAGATCCTGACGGCACTGGGCCTGATGTCCTGCTCCCACACGAGGACAGCCCTGCTCTCCGGGGGGCAGAGGAAGCGCCTGGCTATCGCCCTGGAGCTGGTCAACAACCCGCCTGTCATGTTCTTTGATGAGCCCACCAGGTAGTTCTTCCCCTCCTTTCCCACCAGGATGCCCCCTCTGCTCAGACCTGAGCCAGGGCTGGAGGCTGAATCTGCTCCACTGCTGGAGACCAGAGCCTGTGTTTGCAGCCTCCGGGGGTCAAGATATGGGCTCACTCCTCGTCTCTATCCCTGCCAATCCTGTTAGTGTAGCAGCCCCATCCTTCACCCAGGCAGAAATCCCCATGTCCTCCTCTGTGATGGATGCCTCCCTCTCCTCCTCCCCCACAGCCAATCAGTCACCAAGTCCTGCTGATTCTATCTCCTTTTTTGATCTCTCAGATTCGCCCCACCCTCATCCCTGGTGCCAGGGCCTAAATTCAGGACATCATCAACTCTTGCCTGCATTTCTGCAACAGACTCCTCTCTCCTTGTCTCCAGTCTCTCCCAGCCAATCCTTCCTCCAAATTGCAGCCCAAGTGAACTTTCTGAAAGACAAGTCTGGCAATACTTGCTCCCCTGCTTAAAAACATGCAATGATTCCCATATGCCCTCAGAGTAAAGTCAGAGGACTCACAAGATCCTGGTCGGAACCTACTTCTCCAGCCTCACATCTTGCTTCATGCTGTCTTGTATTTTACGCTCTGATAATAGTGAATTGCTTATAATTCCTTAGTCAAGCCATGTGTTTCATGCCTCTAAGCTTTGCACATGCTGTGTCTTCTGCCTGGAATGCCCTTCACCACCACACCTGCCTTTCCACCTTCACCTGGCTTAGCTCTTTCTTCTTCCAGACTCACTTAGGAATCTTCTCTGATTACCCTTCAACAACCTTGTACTTCAGAGCTGAATCCTCCCCCTCTTTTTCACCCCATGTTTCTATAGCATGTTCCACATTATCTCAAATGATCTGTGTGCCTATTTTTCTCTCCCTCCAGACCAGAGTCTATGTCTTACTTATTCATCATTGTAATCCCAGGCATTCAACAGGTGCTCAATATATGCTTGTTAGACCGAATGGTGCTCTGGGCTTCTTAGTACCTCCAAGTCCTGAATCATACAGTGTGGACAGGAGGTAGGGGTGGCCAGAGTGACCCCCTTCCTGCCAGCTCCATCCCCTTCATAGCAGCTGTTCCACCTACCTCACCCCACCCCCATGGTGGCCTCTCTCTGGACAGTGGTCTGGACAGTGCCTCCTGTTTCCAAGTGGTGTCTCTCATGAAGTCCCTGGCCCAGGGGGGCCGTACCATCATCTGCACCATCCACCAGCCCAGTGCCAAGCTCTTTGAGATGTTTGACAAGGTGAGTGTCTCTGGACCTCAATGATGACTGGCCTGTAATGGGGACAGGGAAGGGGGTCAGGAGAGGTCCTGGTGGGACCTGCCTGGTCCACTGGTCCTGTTTTCCTCACCCTTCTCTTTCCTCAGCTCTACATCCTGAGCCAGGGTCAATGCATCTTCAAGGGTGTGGTCACCAACCTGATCCCCTATCTGAAGGGGCTCGGCTTGCACTGCCCTACCTACCACAACCCAGCTGACTTCAGTGAGTGGGGCCCTGTTGGTAGGGGCTGGGATATGGTGATGGGTCAAACCTGGGGGCTTGGGTCACGTACTCAGGGCTCCTGGGGGCAGAGATCTCCCTGTTACCTGCCTTCCCCACACACCCAAGAAGGGGCTGGCTTGCCTTGGGCACCAAGGATAGATCTTAGCTGACCACTCCTCTTTGTGCCCTCCAGTCATTGAGGTGGCCTCTGGAGAGTATGGAGACCTGAACCCCATGCTGTTCAGGGCTGTGCAGAATGGGCTGTGTGCCATGGCTGAGAAGAAGAGCAGCCCCGAGAAGAACGAGGTCCCTGCCCCCTGCCCTCCTTGCCCTCCGGTGAGTAGGGGAGGAGAGGGCAGAGAGTGGAAAGCGAGGGAGGGGAGACAGGACCATGGCCCTGCCGAAGAGGCTGTCCCCCAGAGGCGTCACAACCACTGGGTACTAGGAAGAACCCAGGACTTGGACTAGATCTACTATTAACAGCTGTGTGGCCTTGGGCATGTTATGTAACCTCTTTGAGCTTCGGCTTTCTTGTTCATTTATTTGTTCAGGAAATTCTTACCGAGCATCTGTAGTGTGTTGTCCTCAGTGCCGGCAGTGCCATTGGTAAGCAAGACAGATGCTGTCTCTGGGCTCGAGGCCATTGTGGCTTACTGTGATCTCTACCCTGGAGGTGGTGAGACTTCCTCACAGGGTTATTGGCAGGACTAATTAGATCATCACTTAAGGCTCTTCGCAGTGTAGCTGGTACAGATCAGTGCCAGCTCTCTTCCTTAAATGAGATACTATAGCCCTTGAAAACTGAAAGAGTTAGTTATTGCTGTTGTTGTCATTATTATCATTGTTCAATAATATTATTGTGAAACTGGTGGCATACAGGTATTATACCCTTAGGATAAATGCTTTTCTATAGATTAAAGAGGAGAAGTGACTGATCTCCTAGTAGTCCCCACAGGTGTCCTTGACTCCCTTTCCATCTCCTCCCTCTGAAGTTTTTACCCCTTCTTGTGTCTCTCTCTGAATCTTGCTCTGATTCGCTCCCCTAAGGCTAGCTTCTAGGTACACAACTCAAGGGTGGAGAATTCTCCTTCAGTAGACCTGAAGGACCCCTGCCCTGGGGAAGGGCTCAGGAGTTTTCCCACTCACTGAACTGGGTGCACAGTGGATGGGTGGGGTAGGCTCACTTGATCCAATTTCCTCTCCCCAGGAAGTGGATCCCATAGAAAGCCACACCTTTGCCACCAGCACCCTCACACAGTTCTGCATCCTCTTCAAGAGGACCTTCTTGTCCATCCTCAGGGACACGGTGAGGCATCAAGTTGGGGGAGAGGAGGCTGGCATAGGCCTGGCTTTTTGGGACATAGGATCCCAGCAGCTGGGATGGGGATGGGGTCCTTCCCCCAGCAGCCGCACCAATGCACCTGTGGGTTTATGTGCCTGTGAGGGCAGCTCCAAGTTCCTACCCCAGTGTGCCCTGCCCATCCCTGGCCTTTGACCCCTCCCCTCTCCTCGTGGTGACCCCCTCACACAGGTCCTGACCCACCTACGGTTCATGTCCCATGTGCTGATCGGCGTGCTCATTGGTCTTCTCTACCTACACATCGGTGACGATGCCAGCAAGGTCTTCAACAACACTGGCTGCCTCTTCTTCTCCATGTTGTTCCTCATGTTTGCTGCCCTTATGCCAACTGTGCTCACCTGTGAGCTGAGCTGCCCTGGGCGTGGGGTGTGGGGCATGGGTTCTGGGACCTGGGGTGTCAGCCAGCTGTGCCTAATTTGCCTGTGTCCTCAGTCCCCTTAGAGATGGCAGTCTTCATGAGGGAGCATCTCAATTACTGGTACAGTCTCAAAGCATATTACCTGGCCAAGACCATGGCTGATGTGCCCTTTCAGGTGAGTCTCTTCCTCCCACCTGCCCAATGCCTCCCTCCTGTCCTGCTCCTTCCATCCTTGCTTGCTTGCCTCCCTCAACCTTGTCCCCTGCCATCCTTTCCATTACTTCCACTCACTTAGCAAATAGGTAGTAAGTACCTACTGTGCACCAGGCTCTGAGCCAGGCACTAGGAATACAGCAGTGAACAAGATGGACATCGTCTTGACTTTGTGGAACTTATGGTCTAGTGAACTGGTTTGACATCTAGGAACTGACGACAAACCAAACAGAAATAATGAAAATAATAACCCTACAAATGACTCTCTAAATCTTATTCAAGGCAGTAGCGGATAGTGTCAGCTCTGGAGCCTCACTGTGCTTGTTAGCTGCAAGACGTTGGGCAAGTCACCCAATCTCCCTCTGCTTCAGTGTCCCCATCTATAAAGTGGAATGATGATATTATCTACCTTGGGGTTGTTTGGGAGAATTAAATGAGTTAATACATGTAAAGTACTTGGCACATAAATAAATGTTAGCTGTTTTTTTTTGTTGTTGTTGCCACCACCTCCCCGTTCCAAGCATGAGGGCCACCAATAATCCATAGGGCACCATTGTGCAAATTAGAAAAAGGTGCCCCTTCCTCAGGGTGGACGCGGCACTGTACAAGGGGGCATGGCTTAGTGAGAAGAGCACTGCTGGGCCTTGGCCTCTGGTCGCCTCTTGGTTGGGTGCCCTTGTGCAGGGAACAACTTGCATGACTGCACACAGTGGGCTCGGTCCCTGCCCTCCAGGTGTTGATAGCTCAGAGGGGGACAAAACACTCTCATATGTAGATTAGTTAATTAACTGTATAAGGAATAAACTGGTCCAGATGAGAAGGATTTAGGAGCTCAGAGGACAGAGAAGTCACCATGCCTGAACTGGTCAGTATGGGCCTAATGGAAGAAGTGAGACTGGAAGATGAATGAGGTTCATATAACGAGGGAGGAAGGGGACATGTGTCAACTTAGGAGGACAGCATGAACCAGAGCGTGGAGGCAAGACTAGGCGTGGACACTCTAGGAATAGCTGTTCTAGAGGTCCTGCCTGGGCGGAGTGGAGAGTCTTGGCCACCATGCCCCTGGCTCACAGTCTGCTGCCCAGCCCTGTGCCCCTCCCCAGGTGGTGTGCCCGGTGGTGTACTGCAGCATCGTGTACTGGATGACAGGCCAGCCAGCTGAGAGCAGCCGCTTCCTGCTCTTCTCAGCCCTGGCTACCGCCACAGCCTTGGTGGCACAGTCTTTGGGGCTGCTGATCGGAGCTGCTTCCAACTCCCTACAGGTGGGAGGGCTGGCAGGTGGGGACCCCTGAGAGGGGTCTGGTGGGAGGAAGCAGGGGCTGGCACAAAGAGTGGGATGGCCCCGCGGAAAACCCTGGGCTCCCCAGTCCTATGTCTGTCAGGTCACTCCTGTGACAGCTTGATCCACTTCTCTCCCCTCCAGGTGGCCACTTTTGTGGGCCCAGTTACCGCCATCCCTGTCCTCCTGTTCTCTGGTTTCTTTGTCAGCTTCAAGACCATCCCCACTTACCTGCAATGGAGCTCTTACCTCTCCTACGTCAGGTCAGTGCTCCTTCCCTCACCATCTGCTCCTAATCCTCCCTGTAGGAGGCCATGCCCCCAGGGATGAGAGAGTTACAGCTGGGCTCTGGCATTTGCCCAGGGAGCAGTGACCCTATGCTCTGTATCCTGCCCTGATGCCCCTCTTTGCCTAGGTATGGTTTTGAGGGTGTGATTCTGACCATCTATGGCATGGAGCGAGGAGACCTGACCTGCTTGGAGGAACACTGCCCATTCCGGGAGCCACAGAGTATCCTGCGAGCACTGGATGTGGAGGATGCCAAGCTCTACATGGACTTCCTGGTCTTGGGCATCTTCTTCCTGGCCCTGCGGCTACTGGCATACCTCGTGCTCCGTTACCGGGTTAAGTCGGAGAGATAGAGCCTTGCCCTGGCCTGCGCCCCAGCCCCTGCAGCAGGAAGCCCCCAGCCCCAGCCCTCTGGGACTGTTTTAACCTTGTAGACTCGGGCACTGGTTGCTGGCGCAGCTGCCCTCCCCTCTCTCGGCTCCTTCACAGGCTGGCTGTGAACTGCGGACTGTGCTCCCAGCCTTGGCCCCGGGAGCAGGGGTTCCAGCCCTCCCTGCCATGCCCAGGAGTCTTCCCAAGTCGATGCAGTTTGTAGCTTCCTCCCCACTCTCTCCAACATCTGCATGCAAAGACCACTAGGAGGCTGCCATCCTCCTTCCAGCCGTCCGCACCCTCCTCTGTTGTCTGCCTGGGAGCCCCAGGCTCTCCAGGCCCCTACTTACAACCGACCAAAGTGGCCCCTCTGGGGGTCCCCACCACACAAGTGTTTGTAAACTGGGGTGTTCTAAGGTTGGGGTTCCAGGGCTGGGCCCTGGTGGGATCCCATGGAAGTCCCATTTGGATGCTGGAATGGAGCAGGGAAGGACTCTGGAAGTCTCTTCCTCCTCCTCACCTTCTCCCCACCCCCAGACCCTCGTTGACTCGGACAATGTGCTGGGACAGAAGCTGGGTTTTCTGTCTGGGTCATCCCTCCCAATCCTGGGGATTGGAGAGGCCTGGGGCCACGGGATGCCACATCTCCTGTCCCATCACCCTTGGTGGGGGCAGGGCCTGGTGGCACCTCTGCAATAATGTCTGTGTTTCTCTCTCACCTGCCACTGGAACTGGAGAAAGCACTTTATTCTGGGGCATGAGTGGGAGAAGACCCAAGCCTCCTTTCTCTGCTCCTGTGGCATGGTCCTGCAACGCTCCCTCCCCTCTCCAGAGTTACAGGCACATACATGGGAAGAGGCAATCTCAGCCCTACACACACTCACCGTCCCCTATGGCTCAGAGGAAGAGTGATGGTGGCATGCTGGTGGTGGGTGCTGCAGGGAGGGCAGTGCCAACCTCCTTCTGGGGATCCCGTTTTGACTCTAAGGATGAGGCTGGTGCAGCCCAGGGTGTCTCCAGGATCTGCAGGTGTCTACCCCCCAGTCTTCCCTCCCTCCCAAGCCAGGGGTGGCACAGAGCACTAGCTCCATGGAGTTCAGGACCCAACACAAGCACAAGCACGGGCATAAGTTGGCCTTGGCCACTGCCACCCCATGGACCTTCTTTTGTGCATCCAGCTGGCATTCTTACTCCCCACTCCATCCCCAGCTGCTTGCTGCTCAGTCAAACTCCTGTCCGTGTCTCGCCACCCCCTTCCCATCAACCAGGGTGGCCCTTGGGCATCAGAGCAGCATGCCCTGGGCACCAGGGTGACAGACACACCTAGAGCATGTCTGGCTTTCCTGGTGGGTCCAAGCTCATACTATTTCTGAGTTCCCTACCCCCCCAGGCTCTTTCTCCCTTGTTCCTGGGCACATACCTCCCTACCATCCCGCACCCTGCCTTGGATTCCCCCCATGATGCAGAGATGCCAGTTGTATTTGTGGGATTTCACCCATTATTAATAAAACCTATATTTATACAGTATGCAGTGTGTAAATGTATGTGGGTCTGGCACCTGGTACCATGGGCTGTGAGGGGTCTTCAAAGTGCTTGGCAAGAAGTCTGTGAGATGTTGGCTCAGGGCCAATCTTCCTCAGCAAAAAGAGGAAGATTGGCAATAGATGTTAGCTCAGGGCGAATCTCCCTCACCAAAAAAAAAAAAAAAAAAATCTGTGAGCTTTAGGGAGCCTGTGGCAGGGGACGGTAAGTCCTAGGTATACATCAGGCTAGTGAATGTGTATCTCATGAAATATCGGTATCACGCTTTACATCTTACAGATACTTCATGTTCATTACCTCAAGGGACTCTAATGCTGACCCTGTATTATCCCTCATGACAACATATTTTGCAGATGAGAGAACTGAGGCTTGGGTTAAGTAACTTGCCCAAGAACCTTCAGCTGACAGAGGTGGAACCAGGCCTGGGAACCAGGTCTTCCGCCTCCAGACTCCTCGTTCTCGGTGTTGGCCAGAGATGTTGTTCATGGTGAATCTGCAAGCTGCATATGGGTGCCCTGTGTCTGCTGCAAGAGTATGTTCTTGCCTGAGTGATGCATGACTCTCTCTTCAGAACTCACTGAGCCCCAGTTGTGCCTATGGAGGGGGGGAGGTTTGTGGTCATGAAGGGCAATGAGAAGCAGGAAAGACCCTGGAGGCTAGGTCCTAGGACGAGAGTGGCAAGGACCTCACTGGGCTCACCACAGCTTTCCCTTTTCTTCCTCTCTTCTTTCCCACTGGGCCACACTTACCAGGGCCCAGCTATCAGCCACCAGGTCTGCAGATGGGTCTGGTGGCCTGGGGTTTGGAGTAGACAATTGTCCAGAAGGACTTGAGGGCTGGTGGCAAGATGACCCAAGAAGCAGCACATTGTCTCTCCCTCTTCCCTCCTGATTCTGAAGCTTGAGGACTGAAGGAAGGGACTGGCATCAATCTGCCAGCTGCCTGGAACACCCTAGTTGTGCCACATGCAGAGCTAAGTGCTCCAGGCTGGATGAGCGTCCAATCTATGACTGGTTGGGTGCTTGCCTGGAGATAGACTAACTTTGTTCCTTGTGGAGGTTGTGGGTGGGAGTGGGAAGTGGGAGGAAGTCCGAGTCCTAGCTTCTGGAATTCTAGTTAGCTTTAGGGGACATTCTGAGTGCTACCTTCTCCCTGGAATGAGGCCAGTAGATGGCTCCTTAAAGTCAGAGGGCACAAAATCCCATCATTAGACAGTCTTTGTTAAGATTCTTCATCTTTACTCTTTCTCCTTTAAAATGCAAATACTCCTGAAAGAGTAAAACACTTATAAATTCACACATTTGTAAGTTCCCTTGAGAGCTAAAGGAGACAAACAGCCATTCCGGAGCCAGCAAGGGCCATTCAGGCACAGAGAACATTTGTAGAGCGGCTTAAGTATCTGTGAAGAAAGCTCTTTTGATTCTTACAGCAACCCCATGAGGCTGCTAGGATGAGAATTATCATTTCCTCCTTTTACATAGAAGGAAACTGAGGTGGAGAAACGTCTTGAGCAAGCTCTCAAGATACTGTGCTGTTGCACAGTATCTTCCACTGTGAACCACCTGCCATTTCTCCCGTCAGTCCCCGTAACCTGTGGAGGTGGGGCATAAATGCACTCTGCCCATCCAAGCATGTTTTGAAAGGGGCCCACTCTCCCTGAATGCCGACCTTCCTGGACTCAGAGATCATCTTCTTCAACTCAACCACCTTCTGTGTCAGGGCCTGTGCAAGGTGCTGGAGGGCAGAGATGACTAAGGCAGTTCTCCATGCTATGGCTCTACAGCACCTATGGCTCTACAGCACGGGCGGCCCATCCAGAGGCCCACAGCATGACTCACAGTCCTTCTGTCTGCAAGAGGCCAGTCAAATTATATGTTATTAATAAAACCTACAATGGCTGTCACACCTGCTGGAAGTGCGGGGGAGGGGAACGACTTGCTCTGAGCTGTTTCCAGTAACTGCAGCCAGGGGCCTGTCTGCCTCACATGGCTAAGCAAGTAGAGTGTAGCTAGAGGAGTCCCCCAGCCTTGAAATGTCACCCCGAGACCACATTCGTAGCATTGCTCTATCTCCCCTCCGCTCATCCCATTCTACTCCCCTTTTAGAACTTCTCTTAAAACGAAAACGTGCCATTTCTCTGCCGCCTGGAATGCTCTCCCTTCCCTGACTTATTTTTCAAGATCCAGTTCAAATGTCATCTCCTTTGCCAGAGGCAGTTAGTAACTTCCTCTCCCAGCCTTTCCTGAGGTTTCCGGCAGCCTCCGAAGTACCATCGTTTGTGCTTCCTGGAGGGAGCTGCTATGGTCTGGCCCCTGCATGCCTTCTTCTGGTTGCTCAGCACTAGCCGAATACCATGTGTTCAGTGAATGAACAAATGAAATATCAACACTGTCTTCAGTCTGGATGGAGGGCAGAGATCTTCCAAGCCCTCCTTCCAGCCCTGCCCTGAGGTGCCTCTCTATGAGTTCCCTATTGCACACCTCGGTTCAGTGCACATTGCAAACATATGTTTGCATGTGGAGGCGTGCCCTGGCTGTGGGTGGTGGGTGGCTCCTCCATCAGCTACATGGGCCCTGCGTGTGCCCTGTACGGAGGCACAGAGATGAGGGTGGGGGCTTCGAGGACCCGGAAGCCCCAGGGCGAGGCCATGATTGGGTGTCAAATAAGAAGAGCAGGTTGGGGTGGGAGCTGTCCCTCAGCCCCTAGTCTTCCTTATTCCTTGACCAAAGCCACCAGAAGCCATACACAGAGGTCTGGGTCTGAAGAGAGTCAGGTACACAGGGGAGGACCCAAGAAGGCCTTGACTCAGATCTTTGCCGAGAAGTAGGCTGAGGAGGTGAAGAGGCACAGAGGGAAGAATGCCCTGGGGGCGCATGGGTGCCTCAGGAAGGCCCGGGAAGGAGGAAGGAAGACCTAGGCCCCGGATTCTTGTTCTGGCTCTTCCAGTTCCTGATTGGGTCAACCTGCGCAAGTCATTTCCCCCTTCTGAGCTGCAGTCCCATCATGTGTAACACGGACACAACAGCGAGCCCTGCCTAGGAGGTGGTAGTGAGGTAATCGGATGGGCCTGGCGCTTGGCAGCCTGCAGAGGGCAGTCCTAGCGGCAGGGCCCGCCCGGATGGAGGGCTGTACCCGCGGAGGGCAGGGGCGCTGGAGGGGCGGGTGGGGAAGTCCCCGCCCCGGGCCTACTTCCCGGGGCACCCGGCCCCTCTCGCTGTCCGTTCCTCCCAGGACCCCGCAGGCCGCGCGCGCCTGGGCTCCTCCTCTCGGTGCCCGCTGCCGGGGCTGGATGCCAGGCGGACAGAGACGCGCAGGAAGCGCCGCGCCGCGCCGGGGCCTCTGGGAGCAAGCGAGAGACGCCGGCGGGCGACGGGCTCCCGGGCCCCGGCAGCCGCGGGTAAAGGCCTAGCTGGCTCTGTCGCCCCTCGCTCCAGGCTGGGCCGCTGCGCTTGGTGGGGGCGGGGGCGGGCCGGGGGGTGCTGGGCAAGCGCCCCTGGGGGTTCGCGGCGGGACGGGTAGGACGGAGCCGTGCGCTGCGTGGTGGGCATTCTGGCCGGCTCTCCCCTTGGGCTTTGAAGCCAAGCGGAACTAGGAGAGCTGTTTGGGACCCAGTTTGGGGGATGGAGCTCTGGACCCGCGGGACCACAGCCCCCGTACCTTTCCTGCTTTGCCCCTCCCTTTCTCACTGCCCTGGATACCTGGGGTGATTTTCCGAGAATGGCCCTCACCACCCCCGACCCCCCACCCCCTCGCAAGTCCCATCTTGAGTCGGTAGCCCTGGTAGCCCTGAATCTGATGTTATCCCGCGGAGCTAGTTTCCTCAAGCTTTCTTAGCTTTCCAGGGCCCTCTCTTAATCCTTCTCCAGCCCCTGGGTCTCCTGCTCTCAGCCCCAGACTGCCCCTCCACTGCTGGCAGGTGGGCCCAATGCAGCTGGTTCTCCTTAAGTGTGCCCTCCCCTTAAGGAGCCACATCTCAGTGGAGACCAGGTGCCAAACAGTAGCACACTCCATTTAAGGGAGCTCAGAGAGATCAGGAAAGACTTCCCAGGAGAGAGAACCTTTGAGCAGGGTCTTAAAAGATTGGGTAGGATTCTGACAGGAGAGAAAAGTCATTCCAAACTGAAGAACGTGCATGAACAAAGTTAGGAAAGTGCAAGCAAGAATTCAGTGAGCCTGGCGAATGAGGTGCCGGTCGTGGGCAAACTCGAAAAATAGCTTGTGAGGGCCAGGTATTTGAACTCTATAGTAACCCAAGATTTTAGGGAGGCCACTGGTGGCTGGGATAAGGGATTGGAATGGGATGAGACTGAAGGCAGAGGCCAGTAAGGAGAAGGGGGTCCCGGAAGTCCCAGAGGGTCTGATGCAATAGGAACAGGCTGGCAAAGCACTGGGAGGAGGAAGCAGTAGGACTGGTTCCACTGTCTGAAGGCGGGAGGATTTAAAGACTAAGAGGTCAAAGTTCTAGTATTAATTGTGTGATTGGAAAGATCTGCAGTAAAGTAAATAAAAGGGGAGGGGAATGATGAGTTCAGTCCTGCATGCGTGAAGCTTGAAGCACGGGGGCAGGATATCCATATGGAGATGTCAAGTAGGAAGTTCATTCATTCATTTATTTATTGTTTATGCCAGCCTCAAAGGCAGCTTATATAAAAGTCACGGAGAAGATAAAATGATAAAAACACTGAAACTCAGCTAAAAGGACCTGATAGCTAGGGAAAAAAATGCAGAGGGAAGTGAATAATTGTTACTGGAAAATGTTGGCTCAGAAAAGCCACTGAAAATGAACACAGGACTCACCTGAGCTTGCTGGCAGCCAAGCAAAAAAAGGACATCTAAATAAAGCAGTTCACTAGGCTGGAACTCAGGGGAGAGGCAATAGGTGGTAGGAGATAAAATGGGATTATTCAGGTGGGGGATGTGGGAGAGGGAGGAGATCTGGAGGCCAGGCCAGGGCTTTGGCAATGCTGGCATTTAAGGAAAGGCTGACGCTCTCCTGAGGAGGAAGGCCTGCACGGGGAGGTGGGGGTGGGAAAGTCGGGGTGTGTGTGGTCCGTTCATACCATTCTTCTTGCAGGGGAACAGGATAGAAGATGGTGTGCTAAATCCCCTGGGCTCTGACCTTCTCTCCTACCATGAGGTGGGGCCGCCATTTGCCCAGGGCCTCTTGGGGCCCTGGTCTGGGTAGAGCATTCCAGGCAGCAGGTGAGCAGGAAGCAGGTGTTTCTGTTTCTACTTCCCTTTCCTCTTCAGAGTCCAGATGGTGCCTCCAAGAGAGGAGGGATCCAGAGACCAGGTGTGCTAGTCCCAGCTCTGTGATTCACTAGCTGTTGGCCTTGGGCGAGTCACCTCACCTCCCTGAGCTTCCTTTTTCCCATCCTAGGATAAGGGAGTCAGACTGGATGATCTTTGAGGGTCCCTGTAGCTACATAAGTCCAGGAACACTTGTCTGATTTTATTTTGCATGCAACAAATATTTACTGAGTGCCTGCTATGTGCTAGACCCTGTGATAAGTTCTGAGTATATAATTATGAACCAAAACAGATGTGATCCCTGCTCTCATGAAGAGGGGTGGTGTACGGAAATGAATGTTAATCAAATAATTACACAATGAAGTATAAATTTGCATAATTGCTACAGAGAGGCGGTACGTGATGCTATGAGTAAATGTTGGGGGATTTAATGTAGATGTGAGGTCTGTGTATTGGTGGGGAAATGTGGTTGGGATCTGGATGCTATTTCTTCTTTCTCTCTGTAGATGAACGTTTCTCCTTCCTGATCCACTGGAGTTGGCCCCTTAAAAGGGAGCGTCCCCTTGAGCCCCCTAGGTGAGGCCTCAGTGTCATACCTTAGAACACATCTGGGCACGGCAGAGTAGCTTGGGAAGGGTCAGACCTTGAGAGAGCTTGATCCCTGCGGGGGAGGTTGGTCTTCTGGGGGTGGGGAGAGTATAGAGCCAGCTACCAGGCCTAAGAGGCAGTTGACTTACATCATCTACAGCACAAGTCACAGTGGTCAGCCAGAGGGAGGACCTGTGGGAAGTGGGTGGGGTCTGGCAGTGGCCACCCTGAACTCCAGGCAGGCAGTCAGCATTGGGGAGCTGGAGGGCTAGGGGTGAGACCTCAGTCTCAGGGAAGGGTCTGAGAGTTAGACAAGGCTCTCGACGTGAGTATCCAGGGTCAGGCCTGGCTCTCAGAAAGCTAGAAGTCCATCAGTCCAGACAGGCCTGGACTCTGAGCCTGTGCAGAGGCTGAGCCCAGTAGCCAAGTCCCAGCTCATCCCTTCTCCTTGCTCTTAGGGTCTTTATACGCCATCACGGAAGCTCAGCGGACAGTGGTCCCCCATCAGGGAGGCATGGACAGTTGTTCCGGGGTGCCTCTGCAGCTGGTAAAAGGACTGGCTCCTCAGTGAGCCTGAGGAGAGGGGCTGGCTGGGATCCCAGTGGAGGGTGGGGGAGAGGGGCCTGGAGGGAGAAGCAGGCAGGAAGAAGGAGGTATAGAGGACCCACTGCCATCATCCATCAGTGGGACCATCCTCCCTCACCCCATCATCCATCTGTCCATGTATCCCTTCCTGCAATATTCGTGCAAAGCACACTTACTGTGTACAAAGCACTTGGAAGGATATATCATCCCTAACTCGCCACAAACTGGGTCCAGCAGTCAGGTGAAGATTACATACAGATAACCGTGCAGCCAGTCAGCCCAGGCTCAGCATCACTCGTCCTGTGGCTCCCCACTTTCTGCCACAGGGGCTCCAAACTTTCTGGACAGTCTGTATTTTCTGAAGGAGTCCTGTGTGCCCAGCACCATTCTAGGTCCCTGCATCTCCTGGTGCTGTGTCTTGACTCTGCAGTCTGACCGTACCACCACCCTGCCCAGTTCTAAGCTTCTGCATCTCCCTGCCCCTTCCCTGACCCATTCTCCTTGCCTTCCCATCTAGAAGCTATCCAGCAGCACCGCCAGAACCTGGCTGAGTGGTTCAGCCGGCTGCCCAGGGAAGAGCGCCAGTTCGGCCCGACCTTCGCACTAGACACAGTCCATGTAGACCCTGTGATCCGTGAGAGCACCCCTGATGAGCTGCTTCGCCCACCAGCGGAGCTGGCCCTGGAGCATCAGCCGCCTCCAGCCAGGCTACCCCCACTGGCCCTGTCTCAGCTCTTTGACCCAGACGCCTGTGGGCACCGCGTGCAGACAGTGGTGCTGTATGGGACAGTGGGCACAGGCAAGAGCACACTGGTGCGCAAGATGGTCCTGGACTGGTGTTACAGGCGGCTGCCAGCCTTCGAGCTGCTCATCCCCTTCTCCTGTGAGGACCTGTCATCCCTGGGCCCCGCCCCGGCCTCCTTGTGCCATCTTGTGGCCCAGCGCTACACGCCCCTGAAGGAGATTCTGCCTCTCATGGCCACCGCCGGGTCCCGCCTGCTCTTTGTGCTCCATGGCTTGGAGCATCTCAACCTCGACTTCCAGTTGGCGGGCACAGGGCTTTGCAGTGATCCTGAGGAGCCAAAGGCGCCAGCTGCCATCATCGTCAACCTACTGCGCAAATACATGCTGCCCGAGGTAAGTGGCCCCCTGCCCTGCCACCGCTGCCCCTCACTTGCCTCCTAAGGATTTTTGTGTCCTGGGCATGCGTGTTAATTGAGTAGGCGCATAGGCTCTGGGTTACTTCAAACCCTGCTCCTCCACTTCCCAGCTGTGTGTCTTTGAGGAAGTCACTAACTTCCCCAAGCTTCTGTGTCCTTCCCTCCTTGAGTTGTACTGATGAAATGAGATACTGCATATAAAGCGCTTAGCAGAGTGCCCTGGATCATAGTAGGTGCTTGTGCTCAGTAATTGTGAATTTAATGATTATGGTCATTATCATCTTCATCCTTGGACACTCCATCTTCAGGGGCTCCCTGGGGAGTAAGGCAATCAGGACACCAAGGTCTCTCTTAACCCTTAGCTGTGCTCTTCCCAGGCCAGCATTCTGGTCACCACCCGGCCCTCTGCTATTGGCCGCATCCCCAGCAAGTATGTGGGCCGCTATGGCGAGATCTGTGGCTTCTCTGATACCAACCTGCAGAAGCTCTACTTCCAGCTCCGCCTCAACCAGCCAGACTGTGGGCACGGTGCTGGGGATGTGGGTGTCTCCACCACGCCGGCTCAGCGTGACAACCTGGTGCAGATGCTCTCCCGGAACCTGGAGGGGCACCACCAGATTGCCGCTGCTTGCTTCCTGCCCTCCTATTGCTGGCTTGTCTGTGCCACCTTGCACTTCCTGCACGCCCCCACGCCTGCTGGACAGACCCTCACGAGCATCTACACCAGCTTCCTGCGTCTGAACTTCAGTGGGGAGATGCTGGACAGCACTAACTCCTCCAAGTTGTCTCTGATGGCCTATGCAGCCCGAACCATGGGCAAGTTGGCCTATGAGGGCGTGTCCTCCCGCAAGACTTACTTTTCTGAGGAGGACGTCTGTGGCTGCCTGGAAGCTGGCATCAAGACAGAAGAGGAGTTTCAGCTGCTGCATGTCTTCCGCCGGGATGCCCTGAGGTTTTTTCTGGCCCCGTGTATTGAGCCAGGGCACCTGGGCACCTTCGTGTTCACTGTGCCCGCCATGCAGGAATACCTGGCTGCCCTCTACATTGTGCTGGGTTTGCGTAAGACGGCTCTGCAGCGGGTGGGCAAGGAAGTGACCGAGCTCATGGGCCGTGTGGGGGAGGACGTCAGCTTGGTGCTGGGCATCATGGCCAAGCTGCTGCCCCTGCGGGCCCTGCCTCTGCTTTTCAACCTGCTCAAGGTAACAGCCCCCATATTCCCTGTTCACCCCTTGCTCCTCTCCTAGAAGGAAACTGCTACTTCGTGCATAGCCATGAATCCTCTGCTTGGCTCAGATTTGGGCCATCTGGCTTTTAGTGGGATTGGGGCATAAGGAAGCGGGAGAGAGAACCTGCAGGCTGTGGAAGGTTTGGAGGCTGGGAGGGGACTTTAATAACAGTCCTACAGCCCTGACGACAGTTTTCTTTTTGCATCCCTCCTCCTAGTCTTCGTTGATGGGAGGCAGGAGTCACTATAGTCCAGGGTCTGTCCTCTGCTCTGCAGGCTCAGAAACTTGATTGTCTGCTCCCCCAGAGGTGATTTAGACTCCAGGAGTGATGACTCATCCTAGCTAAAGCACCAGAGACAGGTTTATAAAGCAGATGCCATTTTATTCATTTATACCAGGAGGATAAATGGCTTTAGTAATTGGTTTAGGACAGTCCGTCCATGGTGCAGGACCACTTCAGAAACCAAATTACAGGCCTGAGAACTGTGCTGTGAGCAGGGCAGATGTGCTAAGTTTTTGAGGGGAAGTAGTACCCACTCTCTGCCAGCTGCCTTGTAAATGAAATACTATTATGCTCCCTTTTATAGATGAGGAAATTGAGGTTCACAGGGGCTAAGTAACTTGTCCAAGGTCGCTCAGATAGTGAGTAGAATAATAGGAGTCTGAGTCCAGCTGTGTGATTCTGAATCCTATGCTCTTTCTGCCAAACTTTACTGAGGTATTCTGAATATTTCTGTTAAGCTATGGTTTCTAGCTAGGTAATCCTGGTCCTCTCAGGGAATGTTTCAGTAATTGGTCTTGATGAGGCAGAGCCCTGGTCAGTGCTGGCAAAATTTTAACAAGTTTTTCTTTTTATAGGCAGCAAAGCATAAGAGTTAAGAGCAGGGATTCAGTAATGCAGCTACCTGGGTTCAAATCCAGGTTCTGCCACTTACTAGCTGTGTGATCTTGGACAAGTTACTTAACCTCTCTGTGCCTCAAAGACCTTATCTGGTAAATGAGGATAATAATACAATCTATATCATTGGCCTAATATGAGGATTAATGTATTCATCCTCAGGACCTGGCACATAGTAAGTGCTATTTAATTGTTTGTTAAACATGAAAACAGGCTCAGACAGCCCACCCCTCCTCACACCATTGCCTCAGCCAGGGAGGCAGTGGCCATTGCTGAGGATGCTGAGGACCCCAGCCCTTGGAGGATGTGCTTGCCTTACCTGGATTGCAGTGAGAGGCTGTGGTCTCCTGATGGGATTCAGAAAGCCCCTCAGTTATTTGAGAGTGAGCCAGAATTAACACCACATCCCCAAGCCCTCTTGGAGGTTGGGTTGCCTAGTAGATGGCTGGTCCCATCTGTTTCTTCATGATCCTATTGATTCAGCTTCACAGGGTGACATTTTCTCATCTCCTCACCAGACGAATGTTGGGGGAGGGGCACTGTAACCTCCATGGCAGGAACCTTACCTATAAAAAGTGAAAAACCAGACATTAGAGGAGGTGCCACGAAACAGCCTCGTGGCTCCTTGCCAGAGAAATGGACCCTCCTGTCTTTTCAGAACCATTGAGGGACGGGAGGTGATGTCGCAAACCTCCCAAACATTCATGTCTCCAACAAATATTTGAGTGCTTACTGTGTGCTAGGCAATGTGTTAGATTCTGAGGAAAAAACAATTAATGAAACCCCAGGTTTCTGCCCTTTCTCATCATACAGTCTGAACACAAGCATGTCAATGCAACCATATAATTAACAACCATGGTAAGTGCCTGGAAAGCAAAGTTCCAGGTGCTATGACAGTGTGTAAGGGGCAGGGGGGGCCCCAGTTTGGGGGAATAAGGCAAACCTCTCTACAGGAAGGACATTAATCCCTGGAGGATTAGCCAGGAGAAGAACTGGGGAAAAACACCCCAGGAAGAGGGTACAACTTTGAAGGAAGAGAAACTTGGCACTGTCAAAAAAATAAAAAATAAAAAAAGAGAAAAGCCAAAAGGATAGGAGCAGAATGAGTGAGGATGGGAGGCCTGTGATGAAGGCACCATGGTTGGCAGGGGCCAAGTCATGCAGGACCTGGAAGCAGGAGTGACATCAGTCATTGCTGCTGTGATGAGGATGAGGATGTCGAGGATGGTGATGTATTTATAACACCTAGCTTGGTACCAAACTGAATGCATAATATATGCTAATTCTTTCCACCGCTCCCTGGGCTTGAAAATGTATGGGGTGTTTGGGAAAAAGAAAGAATTTCCTAATGTCTTGAGAGTGCATGAGACAAGTGTTGAGAGAAAGGCCAAATTGGGGCCAAATTAGGAAAAGTTTTATAGTCCACCGTGGCAGTAGGGAGCCACAGAAGATGTTGCAGCAGGGGAGTAGTATGATCAGACAAATCATGTTGCTAGTTCAAGGGAGATCACGAGGCTGGAGCAGTCAGGGAGAGTGTACCTTAAGCTGAGCTTTGAAGGCTGTAGTGCCCTCCCCCTGCTTCCTTTCCCAGGTGGTTCCTCGAGTGTTTGGGAGAGTGGTGGGTAAGAGCCGAGAGGCGGTGGCCCAGGCCATGGTGCTGGAGATGTTCCGAGAGGAAGACTACTACAATGACGACGTTCTAGACCAGATGGGAGCCAGTATCCTGGGCGTGGAGGGTCCCCGGCGCCACCCAGACGAGCCTCCCGAGGATGAGGTCTTTGAGCTTTTCCCCATGTTCATGGGAGGGCTTCTCTCGGCCCACAACAGGGCTGTGCTGGCTCAGCTCGGCTGCCCCATCAAGAACCTGGATGCCATGGAGAATGCCCAGGCCATCAAGAAGAAGCTGGGCAAGCTGGGCCGGCAGGTGCTGCCCCCCTCGGAGCTCCTTGACCACCTCTTCTTCCACTATGAGTTCCAGAATCAGCGCTTCTCCGCTGAGGTGCTCAGCTCTCTGCGCCAGCTCAACCTGGCGGGTGTGCGCATGACACCCGTCAAGTGCACAGTGGTGGCAGCTGTACTGGGCAGTGGAAGGCATGCCCTGGATGAGGTGAACTTGGCCTCCTGCCAGCTGGACCCTGCTGGGCTGCGCACACTCATGCCTGTCCTCCTGCGCGCCCGGAAGCTAGGGTGAGGACCTGTCCTCCTGCACAGGCACGAAAGGAGGAGAGGGTTGGAAGTGAAAAGGTGGAAAGAGAAGGTGCTAGGGAAACCAAAGGTACTGAGGAAGGACCCGGGGGTGCGATGACTAAGTCTATAGAAGTGTGGGCAGGTGTGAACTGCAAGAGGCAGGATGGTGAGGAGGGGCACGGTGGATGGACAGGCTCCATGCTGAATTCCTTCCTTGGTTTCTCACCTCCCCTCTGGCCACCTTCTGCTCCAGCTTGCAGCTCAACAGCCTGGGCCCCGAGGCCTGCAGGGACCTCCGAGACCTGCTGCTGCATGACAAATGCCAAATTACCACCTTGCGGTGAGTGCCCTGGGAAGGGGGCTGGAGGGAGGCTCTGGCCATCCTGGTGGCCAGCTAAGGTCAAGGGTGCTCCCTGCCTCACAACATGCCTGGCACAGGCCCACCCAGGGTGTGGTGTGGAGTCTAGACCTTGTCCTGCCCACCCAGGTCTGGGACAAGCAGCAGGCGGAGGGAGGGGGAGACGCCACCAGGAATAGGGGCTAACAAAGCCTCTCAGGTGGCTAAAATCAGCCTGGGGGAGGGGAGGGGAGGGGAGAGGGTGGAATAATACCTAGGCTGGTTGCCTGGCAACAGTGACACTGATTCCCCTCCCTGGATTTCCCTGTTGCCTCACAAGTTTGACTCTAATGCCAGGCACTCAGTAGATGCTCCCGAAGTGTTGACTGATTTACTAGGAACCCAGGTGCCTGGCTTCCCGATTTCTGGTTGGAGTAAGGGGAGATGAATGAAGAGGGAGAAAGGAGGGAAGGGAGAAGGATGGGGAAGTGGGGTCTGGGGAGGGGATGAGAAGAGGAGGAGGGGAAGTGGTAAAGATGAAGAAGAAGGGGAGAGGGGAGAAGACAGTCAGCAGAGAGAATGGAAGGAGGGGGAGAAGCCGGCTTCCACCCCGCTCTCCCTCCTCTGCAGTATACCATACCCCCTGTTTCTCTGTCCTCTTCTCCTGGGCCTGCATTTCTCTGTGTCCAGGCTCGTCTCCACCCAGGCTGGGCACCGTTTTGGCCCAAGTCTGGATGCCCAGCACAGGGCATCTACCATGGGCCCTCATAACCTTGGGGTGCTTGTGGCTTCAGGCTGTCCAACAACCCACTGACGGCAGCGGGTGTCGCCTTTCTGGTAGAGGGGCTGGCAGGAAACACCTCACTGACACACCTGTCCCTGCTGCACACTGGCCTTGGGGACAAGGGCCTGGAGCTGCTGGCTGCCCAGCTGGACCGTAACCAACAGCTAAAGGAGCTGAATGTGGCCTACAATGGCGCTGGTGACACCGCGGCCCTGGCCCTGGCCAAGGCTGCCCGGGAGCACCCTTCCCTGGAGCTGCTGCAGTGAGTCTTGTCGCTGGTCCCATCGCCCCACCCCAGCCTGAGACTCTGTTCCCAGCCCTTCAGTCCTCCTTTCCTCTTTCCACTGTGCTTTTCCTGCCACAGGGGGCGGGCTTGGGCCTGGGTCTGTCCTCTCTTCCTGGCTTTTGATTGATCCTTGTCAACCTGCTTCTGAGTCAGCCCACCCCTCTGGGATTGACACTTACCCTGTACTGATATCCTACCACCCCTCCTAGGGTCCTGGTGGCCCTATTCCTAATGTCCCTGGCCCCACTGAATTCTAGCGTCATCCCTGTCTCCCACTGGCCACCACCCTTCATCTCTGGCTTATTGCGGACACTGACCCCATTGCATTCTGCAGCCAGGGAATGAGTTGTGAGACCCCCCTCACTCTGTCCACCCATCCTCTGTCCCTCCTCTTCAGAGCCCTGCTGAAAGACATCTACTCTTCTCTCTCTTGCTAGCCTCTACTTCAATGAGCTGAGCTCAGAGGGCCGCCAGGTCCTGCGGGACTTGGGAGGCAACAGTGAAGGTGGTGCCCGGGTCGTGGTGTCACTGACAGAGGGGACAGCAGTGTCTGAGTACTGGTCAGTGATCCTTGGTGAAGTCCAGCGGAACCTCAACAGCTGGGATCGGAGCCGGGTCCGGCGCCACCTTGAGCTACTGCTGCGAGATCTGGACGATAACCGAGGAGCCACCCTTAATCCTTGGCGCAAGGCCCAGCTGCTTCGAGTGGAAGGCGAAGTCAGGGCCCTCCTGGAGCAGCTGGGAGGCTCTGGAAGCTGAGACAGTGGCAGCAGGCACCTAGCTGTGTGACCCCTAGCCCTAAGCCCCTTCCCTCTGTCGCCTCCTGGCTTGCACTACTACTTCTAGAAAGATCCCTACACGGGTGGAGGCAAAGGAATGGGCACAACTATACCACTATGCCAGTTGCCCTCCTGGGGCATGTCCAACCAGTGCTCCTAAGTCTGGAATTTCCAAGGTCATGGAACATGCCTCCTCTCCTTTCAGCTGAGAGGACCAAATGATGTGGCATTTTGGTGGCCAAATTGCCCTGTAGCACCACCACCAAGCTTGCCTCTGTCTCTCAAGGAACCTCTGATTGTGCCACCAGGAGGCGCACTTCTTGTGTCTGCCTTGACAGAAGTGCTGCCAGATGTGCTGGAGGGCCTTCACCTCCTGCCATTACGCTTTCTGTGGACACCGAGAATGTCCACAGCCACTTTCCTCATTGGTGCTTTCTCTTCCCCCTCACGCCCCCTTGACCACAATGGTACCTATGCTCGGTGGCCCCTGGGGGCACGTGCACTGACTTGCTGCTATTAAAAAGCTATGTGTCTTCCACCTACTGTGGCCTCTTCCTTGCTTGGTGCTTTCAAGAAAGGGCACTGTTCTTGGTCATTCTGGTTAAACTACTGACCACTGTCTGTTGCAAGTGGTTCTTGGACACTAGGTTCAGAGGCAGTGAGGGCTGCAGGGCGGGGGCATGAACAAGATATTGAGGTCGGGGGGAGGCCATGCTGGGCCATGGGACTCCTATCACCCTTTTCATACATACTTATCCCAGGTTTGGAATTACAATGACCAGCAATCTACCTTTCTCTGTGCAGAAAGGGAGCTGGGACAGCAGCAGAGACTCTGGAGAAAGTTGGGGCCCAGGAATGGGGGCAGGAGGAACACACACTCTTCCCTAGAGGATAAGACTCTCCCCCGTTAACCATTACCCCACTGCTTCCAAGGCAGTGTCTTCAAGGAGGCGGGACGTGGGGAGGTAGGCGGGAGGGTCAGCTGGTTTCAATGGACCTTGTCCCTACCCTGAGCACTAGGTCGCTGATTCAACTATGGAGGCAGCTGCAGGTAGGAGGCTGGGAGAAATCCTCTGGAGGGGACTTCAGGGCAGTCAGGGGGCAGATTGGGAGGCTGAAGCTGTGGGCCCAGGGCACACTTGATGTTGGGGTTTGGAGCCCCTGGCATATAGACTGGCAGTTAGGGGGAAGAGGTGAGTGGATATGTCTGTCTTCCTGGTCCACGCCCTGTACTGATATGCTCAGATTTCTGTGTCAAGGACTGGAGGTAAGGGGAAGGAAGGGGAAGGGAAGACCCTTTTGGAGCAGAACAGAGGGGTCAAGTCCTGAGTTTGGGGGTTCCCCTAAGTCCTTTCATTTAATAACCACAGAAGATTCTTCCCCCCTGGGGGGGGGAAGAATGTGCCTCTCCTCCCCTCACCCTTTCTTTGCCCAGCAGATCATCAGGACACAGCCTCATTAACTCTGTAAGTGCCATGCTGTGAAGGGCTGGGGCAGGGGGAGGAGGGAATCGAAGGTGGGGAAGCTCTTCAGCTGCCATTAGCACCTCAAGTAGAGTATGGGACCCAAGTCCAGATGTCAGCTTTCTCCTACCTGCATCCCTTGCCTCCTTGCAGGAAGTTTGAGTTTAACCCAAAGCTGGGCATTGATAATCCTGTCCTCTCCCTGGCTGAAGACCGTGACCCCTCTGGTAATCCCCTTGCCCCCCAGGCAACCATTCTCTTTCCCCAGAGACACTGCAGCTCCACACAGCCTCCCATCTCCTTGGTAACCACTCACTCTGTCTCCCTCTGATAACAGCCCTGGTGGGGAGTAACTACGTGGGCAGAGGAGGCGGCAGGGCGTTTCCTTCTGTCCCAGCCACTCTGTTTACGCGATGTTCAGCTATACTGCCCAACAGCTAACTGGGTAGAAAACCTGCTTGGTGCCCTATCACGGGGGCAGGGTCTGCCAGGCACAAGGTGACTGGTACCTGGGTCACATCCCTTCTCCTCTCCCTTTTCTGCTGCCCATATTCCCCTCCAGATCTCTGGAGTTTGGAGCGGCCTCGCTTCTGTCTGCTGAGCAAAGAGGAGGGCAGAAGTTTTGGCTTCCACCTGCAGCAGGAGCTGGGCAGGGCTGGGCATGTGGTGTGCAGGGTGGAGCCAGGCACCTCTGCCCAGCGCCAGGGTCTTCGGGAAGGAGACCAGATCCTGGGGGTGAACAACCATATTGTGGAACATGAAGACCATGTGGTGGTGAGGTTGGGCTGGGACTCCCTGTGGTGCAGGAGAACGTTCCACTGCACCTCAAGGAGAGAGAAGCCAGTTGGTCAACTCCCTGGGTATATGGGGGCGGGACCCAAGCCTCAACCTCCCCCACCTCCCAGAATTTAGGGGTGCCCAGGCCAGAACAGTTGGGTGAAGGGATCCAGAGAGCTGGTTGCCATGGTGAAAAATGTAGGTTCCAGGGAGGGGGAGTTGGCAAAAGTGGCCGGCCCCAACCTCACCCTGCGTGTCTTCTGCTTAGGTGGTACGCCGCATCCGGGCCAGCGGTCCTCGGGTGTTGCTGACGGTTTTGGCACAGCATGTGCATGATGTGGTCCGAGCTCAGCAGGGGAATGATGCCCACCTCTGTCCTACTCTTGGCCCAGGGGTCCGGCCCCGGCTGTGCCACATAGTGAAAGATGAGGGTGGCTTTGGCTTCAGTATCACCCAGGGTGAGCTTACAGCCTCGGGAGGGAGGTCAGGAGGGGGATCTCAGCCATGTTCCAGGCAGGCAGCAAACTGAAACTTGCCTTTTTTTTGGCTTCCAGGACATTGGGGTCCTTTCTGGTTGGTGCTGACTACTGGAGGAGCCGCTGAGCGGGCAGGGGTGCCCCCTGGGGCCCGACTGCTGGAAGTGAACGGGGTCAGTGTGGAGAAGTTCAGTCATAACCAGCTCAGCAGGAAGGTATGGCTGCCTGCTTCCCTATTCATCCTCCGCCCCCCCTGGGGCCTCTGCCTCTGGAAGCAGACTCCTCCCCCACGCACCTCACCCCCTGATCTGATCTTGTACCTCCCTCACCACCAGCCTTCCCTTTACAGCTTGTGCTAGGCCCTTCTCTCCCCTCCCCTTAGTGCCTCATTCCTGGGCCTGGGAGGAGGGGCTGTGGGAAGGTGCCTGCCTCTGCCCTCCCTACCCAGGTGGTTGATGCTGATGCCATACTGTTCCCCACAGCTTCGGCAGAGTGGAGAGCAGGTGACCCTGCTGGTGGCAGGGCCAGAGGTGGAGGAACAGTGTCGCCAGCTGGGAATGCCTCTGGCTGCACCCCTGGCAGAGGGCTGGGCACTGCCCAGCAAGCCCCGCTGTCTGCACCTAGAGAAAGGGCCCCAGGGCTTCGGGTTCCTGCTCCGGGAGGAGAAGGGCCTTGACGGTCACCTCGGTGAGCGGTGCTCTGGGGGTGGGTGGGGAAGGTTGGCCTTGGGGTGGGCACACAAGTGTAGATATACACCTCTCAGTGCACATGAGTGGTGTCCCTGTCTGAGCCACAGCCCTGGGCCTCCTCCTCTGTGTACTCCCTGGTCAGTTCCCAGGTGTGCACACGGTGGCTTGGCCTGGCACTGGGGGTAAGCAGGGGAGGAGCAGTGAGGATGTCTATGTCCCAGGGCAGTTCCTGCGGGAGGTGGACCCAGGACTGCCAGCCGAGAAGGCCGGGATGCAGGCTGGGGACCGGCTGGTGGCTGTGGCTGGGGAGAGCGTGGAGGGGCTGGGCCATGAGGAGACAGTGTCCAGGATCCGGGCGCAGGGCTCCTGTGTCTCCCTCACTGTCGTCGACCCTGAGGCTGACCGCTTCTTCAGCATGGTGCGAGCTGAGGGGCAGGGGCTAGGGTGGGGGCAGGAATGGAGCAGGGCTCAGGTGGAGGGAGAAGCAACAGGTTTGTACCATCTGCCTCCTTCCAGGTTCGCTTGTCCCCGCTCCTCTTCTTGGAGAGCACAGAGGCTCCTGCCTCTCCCCAGGACACCAGCTCAGCCTCTCTGGTTGAGACCAAGGACCCACCAGTTGAAGACACAGCCATGCCTCCTGACACGTGTGGCTCCCGCCAGTGCTTTCTGTACCCTGGGCCTGGTGGTGGCTATGGCTTCCGACTCAGCTGTGTAGCCAATGGGCCTTGTCTCTTCATCTCCCAGGTGACTGATGCCCCATGGACCTTGGATCCTTTCGATCATTTGCTTCCTGATGAGCCTTCCTCTGCTTCCCTCCCAGAGCCTTAGAGCACCCAGCAAACTTTTCCATCATGTTCCATGTTCTGTATCCCTCCTACACCACCAGGTGACCCTGGGAGGCTCAGCTGCCCTGGCGGGGCTGCAAATGGGAGATGTGATTCTAGAAGTCAACGGGTTTCCTGTGGGTGGAAAGAATGACTTGGAAAGGCTTCAGCAGCTGGCTGAGGCTGAGCCACCCCTGTGCCTGAAGCTGGCGGCCAGATCTCAGCAGGGCTTGGAAGCCTGGATTCCCCAGGGTCTGGAGAGGTGAGGAAGAAGAGACAGATGGACTGTGAACAGCCAGAGAAGGACACAGGGGAGCCAGAAAGGAGGGCAGAGCAGGAGGGCTGCAGGTGAAGCAGTGTGGGGCATGCAGGTTGGGACTTTAGGCCATGGTGGGGGGCGGGATGCAGAAGCACCCAGGGAACAAGCCCCATTCCTGGGCATTCCGGTTCAGGTGAGGGCAGGGAAAGGGGACTTTTCCCGTCTCTGAATGACCTTCTCCCTTCCTGCTCTACTTAGGACTGGGCTCTAGCCTCAGATCTGCTGTAGCACTCCCCTGCTTGGCACAGACCTACCCAGTGGCTTTCCTGTCTTCACTCTCCAGCCTGAGGTAGAAGGAGCAGAGCCGCTCTTTTTAAGCCAGAAACTGGAGCTCCAGGACTCTGGACACCTCGAATCACAGGATTGCCCAGGGTCTCCCTCCCTTCCCATGGGCCCACCACCCAGAAGAGGGTGTGGTCAGAGGCCTCAGGCAGGCCCACTAGTGAGCCTCCGCTCCGACTCCAGAGGAAGTCATGTGGGAGTTTTGGGAGCTGTGATCCAAAGACGAAGTTCTGCTTGAGACTAGTGGTGTGATTTTGTGATTTATAATAAGAAGTATGTATTTGGTCTTCATCCCCTTTCCTGGCACAGAGCTCCCAAACCCCTTGGAATTCCCTAAGCGATAAGAGCGATAAAGGTGTCTTCTGTTATTCATAATAAGCCCCATTCAACCACACCTGATTTTGTTAATGAGGTGACTTTTGGAAAGCACCTAAGGATGGGGAACTGGTTGTCAGGGGAATGAACCATGTGATTAGAAGGTTGTAACTTTCAGCCTTACCTCCACCCCTATGCCACCCTTGACCTCCTGGGAGGGGAGAGGGGCTGGAGGTTGAATCAATTACCAATGACCAATGGTTTAATCAGTCACGCCTATGTAATGAAGTCTCCACAAAAAACCAAAAAGACGAGGTTTGGAGAGCTTCCAGGTTGCTGAACATGTGGAGGTGCTGGGAGGGTGGTGTGCCTGGAGAGGGCATGGAGCTGCCATGCCCATACCTTACCTAGGCATCTCTTACATCTGGCTGTTCCTGATTTGTATCCTTTCTAATAAATTGGTAATCCACTAAGTAGACTGTTTCTCTGAGTTCTGTGAACCCCTCTAGCAAATGATTAAATCAGAGGAGGGGGCTGTGGGAACCTCTGGCATATAGCTGGTTGGTCGGAAGCACAGGTGACAACCTGGACTTGAGATTGGCATCTGAAGTAGGGGGCTGTCTTGTGGGACTGAGCCCTTAACCTGTGGGATCTCTAGGTAGATAGTGTCAGAATTGAGTTAAATTTTAGGACACTGAGCTGGTGTCCATAGACGAGTTGGAGAATTGCTTGGTGTGGGAAAAATCCCCACACATTTGGTGACCAGAAGTAAAGTAGTACTGTGAGTATTGTAGTAGAATACAGAGAGGAGAAACACAGAGTCTCTCTTTTCAGGTGGGCTGGGCTAGGATTGAAGCCATCTGGAACTTGCCCTAGGCATGACTCCAGGACTCTTGGATGTATGTCAAGAATTTGGAGACCAGTTACACCTTCCCTCTGTGGGCACCTTAGGATTGTGGGGGCTGGTGCCTGGTCATTGTTGGTCTAGTATAGAAATGGCCTTTCCCCACAAATCTGGCTGCCTGTGTTTGTGTGGGTGGGGGTAGGGGGCGATGGTTTGAAGTGACCAAAAGGGCTCCAAGCTCAAGGGGTGGGATCCAGTTTCTCTGGGAGAAAGGTTGAGACCTTGTCAGATTTCTCTCCTATCATTCAGTCTTTGGGGTAAGGTGTCAGCCCAGAACTGAGATGTCCCCATGACAGGCAATCTTCTCTGCCAAAAAGCCACAGCCCACAGTTCTGTTGAGTTCTACATCAAGACAGCTTTATTGCTGGCCTCAGAGAGCCCCAGAGGTAGAGGCTTGCAGCCTCAAAGATCCAGGGGGTTGAGTCCAAACTGGCAGAGCTGCTCCTTGTGCCTGGCGTGGAGTCTCAGCACATCCCTGTCCCACTGAGGCTTGACGGCTCTCAGCTTGGCCAAGAGCTGGTCCAGACTGCCCTGAGGACACCAAGCTTCGGGCCTCAGGAAGGGAGATCACAGGGTGGGGGGGAGGGGTCCCAGGTTGGTCTGTAAGCTTCCTTGCCAGTGTTTTTTTAAAGTTCTTATTCTTAGTAGGTAGGCATGGTTGTATCCCCTTGCTGTCTGCCCTCAAGACAGAGCAGAGTTCCCTGTGGAGATGCTTCTTCTCCTTCCCCCTGGTCTGTCATTGTTACACTAGCAAGGGTTTGTGGGGGTGGGGGAGTACTGGCTACTGGGGTGGCTGGGCTTCAGAGGATGGTGCTTACATGTAAGATTTCCTCATATTTGGCCTCCATGTCTGCCTCGTGGGCCCGCAGCTGAGCCAGACTCTGGTCCCGCTCTCCAAGGGCCTGCTCAGCCTCTCCCCGTGCAGCCTCAGCCTCCTTCTGGCACATCTCTAGGGGGTGAGGCAGAAGGATGAAAGAGGACAGGATGGTGACACTCTACCCTTGAACTATCTCCCAAAGTACCCCAAAAGTGGAACTTGAATAGGATCATTCATTCCAGACTCCCCCAGGGTCATCAACTTTCCCATAGTCCCTATAAAGAGCTGAAGTATACCATTAAGAGAGAGAGAGTAGTGGGTTTAGGGACAAGAGATCTAGGTCCCAAATCTGGTTGTCACTTACTACCTGTGTAACATCGGGCATGTCTCTCTCTGAGCCTCAGTTTCTTCATCTTTAAAGAGAGAGTGACAAATACCTCACAGGCTTGCTGTGAGAGTTAAGTGTGATTATGGGAAAGCACCTAGTATATAGGAGGTGCTCAATAAATGTTGATTGCATTTAAATTTGAGATAAGGCAAAATTAGGAAAGGAACTCAGGGTCTGCATGGCAGATAAGCAACTCTTGGATGTATATAGCTAGACTAAAGCTATTTCAGGACAAGAATACTTTGAGGCCAAAATTGTGAAAAGTCTTGTGTGCCATGCTAAAATATTTCAACTCTATCCTGCAATCAAGAGGGCAGAGAGCAAAAACTTTCTGGTTTTTATATTTTTGCTTATTTCAAAGGTTTATTCATTTATTTAGCAAATAGTTATTTAGGACCTACCACGTGCTAGGCCTTAAAGATCCAGAAGTAAATAAGTCAAACATTTTCCCTTAGTTTCATGTAAACATCAGCTGTACTAAGAGGGAGTATGTTTTGCTCATGAGACACATGACAGTGGTGGGAGCAAGAACTGGATTTGGAGAGACCATTGAGAGGGGGAAATGGGGTGTGAGACTTATACCTTCTTTACTTATAACTTAAGATTTTTGCCATCCTGAACTCTCTGCTCCAATCCTCAGTGGTGGGAGAGTCAGTGGGAAAGTGTTACGATAGCCTAGGTTGTAGTCTTCTAGAGAAGGACCATCTTAAGTCCACCCCTTCAGGCTGGACCTCATCAGTGATACTCCAGGAGAAAGGCTTAGGAGGTGGCAGGGAAGCCTACCTAGCTGCTCCCGAAGGCCCCTCACTTCCTCCTCCAGCTGCCTGCTGCAGGTCTCCATCTCCTCCTGCAGGGCCCGGCACTGACGGCTCATCTCTGTGGTGGGGGCAGTGGGCGGCCAGGGGCCTGGATGGGGATAGAGTGGTGGAGAAAGAAAGGGACGTTGTGAGTGGGGAGGGCTCTGCTTGGTCCAGTGGGACAGGAGCAGAAAGGCCTTCTTGGTTCTCCTTATGGTGATTTAGAGAAGCTGGGAGACCCTGAAAACCTGGGGAAGAGCTAGGAAACCAGACCCCTTTCCCTGATGCCAGCTCATGATGGGGTTTCTAGCCCTTCTCCACATTCACTCCCACAGGATGAAGGAGATAAAGGCTATGACCGCATTTTGTAACCCACAAAGCATCAAGCACACGGCATCGGCCTCCCTTGTGTTCCTTCCAGATCCTGCCTGATTTGTGCTGTGCTGGGAAGGCTGAGACAAGACATGGCAGATGGAAGTCCTCCTTGTCTCCCTTCCTTGCATCTTCTGGTCCCCTTGGTTGTCCTCTTCCAGGCCTCTGTGTCTTGCCCACCTGCTTGACCAACCACGCACCTGCATATAGGGCCTTCCCTTCACTTCGGGCCTCCTCCAGTTCAGCCTTCAGCCCTTGCAACCTCTGCTTCAGCTGGTCTTCAGAAGCCTTGGCTCGGCGGGCCTCATCCCTCCGCAGAGCTGTGAAGAGTCCCAGAGCAACTCTCAGGACTGGCTGAGGACCCCATTGAATCAGCCCCTGTGGGCTTAATGGACTCTGCCCACCTCTGGAAACCTGGTGGCAGGCTTCCAGCCACTCATTCTCATTCTGTTTTTTTTTTTCCCCCTAGAATCCCATAGGCTCTTCAATACTAAGAAGCAAAAACTCCCTGTGTTCTGGCTGTAAAAAAATAGCCATCAACCCTCACTGCTCATAATCCCAACTCATGACAATCTTTTTCTACTAGGGGATGGTTAGAGGTCAGCTCAGCCCCCCACCATAGCTCCAACCCTCCAAGCCCCCAAGGATACAGAAATGCCCAGGGCCCCACCTCTATTGCCCCCAGAACTTCCACCCTTCTTACCCAACTGGTCTCGGAGCAACTCCTTTTCTAGCACTGCCAGCCTGTGCATGGATTCGGCCTCCACATCTGCCCTGGCAAGTTGGCAGAGACTCAGCTTATCATGATTTCAGCTTTCCTTACTCCCCTCCCATCCTCATCCCACACCCCGGACTTTCTTCCCGCAGGAGTTCTGAGGACCACTAAACGAAGTATCTCTGATGGCAGAGTCTACTGAGTTCACCACTGTGTCCTCACTGCTCAGCACATAGTAGGTACTCAAAATATGTGTAATGAATATATAAGGAAGGCGCAAAGCCAGCAGGGACTCAAGGGAGGGAGTGGGTACTGATTTCCCCACTGTTCCAGCTCCACGGAACCTGGATGTGAGGCTATGAAGGGGGAAGGTCAAGAAAGCTTCATCTTGACATGCAGAGTGCTGAATTCTCTCTGGAGAACCTCTGCTTGGTCTCTGCGCCAGAGCATGGAGAAGCAGGGGGCACCCACCTCCACCCACCCTGACTCACCAGCACCTGAATTCTTTTTCTTCTTCTGTGCCCCAGCTTTCATCCGTTTTTCTTTGGTCTTAGGTGGCATCTCCTTGCTGTCCTGGGGGAGGGAGGGGACTTTTGTATTTAGATCTGTACATGCGGATGCTTTCCTGACCCCTAGACTGAACCAGAAGTCCCAGGAGAGTTAGAGTTCTAGTCTCCAAGTCTGTCTCTCATAGTTTCCAGAAGCTTCCGTTCTTGGTCTCCTTGGAAATTTAGGCAAGGCTGGGGTCAGCGGGGAGGATGGAGCTGTCTCTCTCTACCAGTCAGGCTTTAGGTACAGAAACAATTCCTCTCCATCCTCTTTTGGAGAAAATAAATCTCAGTACCTGGTTCCTTCCCTCCTCCCATTATCCTTACCCTGCCTCTTCCCACCTGTAGGACCCTGTCTTGCCTCTGTTGTGCCTCCCTGGAGAGTGACCCACTCACGGGGAAGGGCAGAGAAAAGACCCAACCAGCTAGGAGCCTGAGGCAGAGACTGAGTTCTGGGAGCCAATCCAGGGTGGCAAATTTCCGTCAGGGGCAGGACTGAGAACTGGAAGCCTGGGTTTCCAGAGACAGCATGTTGTCCAGGCAACTGGGAAACATGGAGTTCACAGGACGGTACAATGGGGTAAATACAAAGCTTCAAATACCAAGGTCTCAGAGGGTCAATTCTCTCCTTATCCCAAAATCCTAAGTGTAGTTTGAGGAGAAAGGGCTTTGGAGCCAATTAGCTATGATTCACTTCCACGTAGCACTGCCTCCAATTTGGAGACTTACCAATACAGATTTACACATCTGAAATGATGCTGTTGTGCTGATGCAGAGGAAAAGGACTGACGGTAGCCATTTTGGGCCATTTACATTCCTAGGTCTCATCAGCAAAATGACATTATTAGGCTTAAAACTGAAGATCCCCCTCAGGAAGGCATTCTATGGTGTATGAGGGAAAGAAATGCAGGAGAAGGTAGTTGAGAGAGTTTCCCACTTCAGAGAAATGAGACACACAGAAGAGGCAGACTCATGGACTCCAGGATGCTGACACAGAGCGATGCAAATGGAGAAGAAAGGGCACCACTGGTTAGAGACAAGAGCTGTGAGTTCTAGTGCCCCCTGCGGCTATGTAAATTTGGGCAAGCCGTTTAACTTTGCCCAGCCTCAGTTTCCTGGTCTTCAGATCTTTAACTTTGTAAACCCTGAAGTGCCTGGGTTTTAACCTGGTATTTACATGGCTATTTTCTCTCATGGTAACTGAATTTATTGCCTCTCTTCCCCTATTCCCTTATGTGGTTGATTTTCAGACCAGCGCTGAGAAACTACTTTCCTCACCTCCCTACAGTATTGAGTTGATTGGGGCTCCCTCTAGTGGCCTTGCTTGACCTCCAGAATCTCCTAAATTTTTCTATTTAAATTATGTATTGGGCAATGTTGAGGGGGCCTCCCTCTTGGGGATACTTCCTAGCATCTTGCTGGAGTCATGAGTGGATGGAAAAATAAATTTCGGGAAGGGAGCATGCCGAGTGGCTTGCCCTTGTCAGGCAGCCCCCACCCTCCAGCCAGCCCTGTGGTATGGGGAGCCTTGTCATCTGTCCCTCACCTGGATCTCTGGGTACACTACCAGCTAGAATGAAAACAGCAAAAAAGTCAGGGCTTTTCCCTTTGTGGATTAAGGGAACTGCAGACTCTTTCTTTAGCTATTTCTTGCTATCTCTGTCCCCCTCAACATTTTTGGTCAATTGCCTGTTGGCAGAAGCAGGTCTGAAGAAATAGCCATGAGATCTGGGAATAAAAACTCCTTCCACTGGGGAGCAGGCAGATTCAGGCAGAGGCTGATTCATGTTTATTTGTCACCTTCAGGGTGTCACCTGCAGGGTACTTCTGTGACCCTCTGGACATTTTACAGATTAAAGAGAAGAACCAGGCTTGTCCTTCCAGATGTTTACAGTTCCTGTATCTTAGGGTCAGATAACCTTGTGCACATCTCCCAAATCTGGAGAACTAGGAGAATTAGGAGAATACTTTTCTCCTAATCTTGAAGCGTGTTTTTCATTTATCCTTCCCCCAGAACCCTCTCTCCCTGCCTAGGAATGCAGTAGAGGTTCCTGCCCACCTGGTCCTTCTCCTCCTCTGGAAGCCTGTCTGGGGATGTTTTCCATGGAATGGTTTGTGTTTCTGTTATGCTGATGCATGGAATGACACATTGAGGACAGAGAGTACAGAATACACACAACACATCATGCCTCAGGAGGGCATTTACTTTTCAAATACGTTCAGTCAACCGACTTTCAGGTGCAGAATGAGGATGTGGTTTGGGGTGAAGGTGAAATGGAATAAGAAAAGTGCCACATGTCACATGATGTGATATAAACTGAGCCAGCTTGAGAATAACCCAAGAATGATGTTGTGATCAACAATCCAACCCCACCTCTAGCACATTTTGAAAATAAGCCAAGTAAAAATCATGAAAAAAAGGTCAATCTTTCCTTCTTTTTCCATTAACCTCAGTTTAGAAGTGAAAATAGGAAAGATCATTTCAGCAGAACTCTGTCTTCTTTGAATAGGATCCCATCTGGGAGTTGTGAAGAGTTACAGAGAAGAATCACTCTCCCTGCTTCATTCAAATGTGACAGATAGGTCATTGTGTATTAAAAGAAATATGGCTTACAGCAGCAGAAACACAGTACAAATTATACAGTTCCGTTCTATACAGACCCCACTGAAGATAATACAAATTGGAAGCCTTAAACCAAGCCAGAGAAGTGTAGGTGATCTAGACAAGCTCATACACAGCTCCAAGGGTTAATTTCTCACTTGTACTCCATTAAATCTAGAATATGACTGTGAGGGGAAAAAAATACTAACCTTGTGTACATATACCATGCTAAGCACTGTAAAAGACCAAAGTCGATTGGACAGTATAGCATACATTCATGTGTGGTAGGTGTGAGAAATAAATGGTTATGGAAATTTAGAGGAAGGAAGGATTATTTCTAGCTGGAGTGTCTGGTAAGGAGGATAATATTTGAGTTGAGTTTTGAAGAATGGATTGGACTTTAGTGCACACTTTAGGCAGAGGGAATGCTCTGAGTAATGGTGATGAAAAAAGAAAGAATTGTGGTATTTTGTGACTTGGTGAGTTACCCAGCATAGGATATATATATAGTATAAAATTGCAAAGTAGTTTGGAGTTAGATCACGACCGTTAACTTCATTCAGGAGGCAATAGGGAGTGTTTAAAGTTTTTTTTGCGACGCTGTCAGAACTATACTTTAGGAAGACTAGTCTGGTGGCAGGATATATTGGAGGCAGCAGGAAAACCAGTGAGGAAAAGGTTTCAACAGACCAGGGAAGAGTGCTGGCAGTAGGGATGTCAAGTTTTGACAGTCATCTAAGAGTGAAGCCAGATACCTGAGGGTTACTGTAGACATTCAATAACAACATGATTGCCTTTTGACCTTGTTATGAATCTTGTCAATTTGCTGTTTTCTTGTTTAACTTGAGGGGTGACTTGGGTCTTGAGGATTTGTGGGTTTGTTTTGCAGAAGAAAGAGAATGCTTAAGGGGAGGTTGCGATCACCAGATGGCCAGCCCCCAGCAGCAGATTGCCCAGGGGCTTATCAGGAGTGACCCCTTTGTTTCTCCTGCCAAGCCCCTTAGCTCTATAAAACCGCTCTGCTTTTTGCTCTTGTTAAGGAGGACTTGAATGAACCCATGCTCCGGCCTTCTCGTCTTGGCCAACTCGAATGGGGCCTTTCTCCATCTCCAAGCACCCATGTCTCGTGTTCAGCTTGCTGTGCATCAGGCACAGAAATTTGAGATCAAGAGGTTAGGGATCAAGAGCTTTCCCTAGACTTTTCCTTGGGAGATTCTTCTAACTCTTTCTAGATAGAAACTGATTAAAGGATATTCTACTGATAGGAAACGATAATGTTGACTCCATAATCAATCTCAGATAAAGGCCACTGAATTGCAAAACAAGAATGTCTGGCTGAAGGGTCCTTGAGTTCAGAGATATTTTTTCCCCTCTTACAGCGGTGCTTGATAACCTTAATTCCCTAATCAGTCAAAGGCTTGGTGGAAGAGCCAGGCAGGGGATCTAAGGCGGAACTGAGTACTTATTGACACGCCAAGGCCTGCAAGCTCCCAAAGCTGAGGCTCAGAATTAGCAAATTAGGGCAGGGCACTTCCTTCTTTGGGAGGGAAGTCCCTTTTTTCAAAGTTCTTCCAACGGAATTTTTAGATTAGAGAAGTGGAAGTGACTGGGAACTGCATTTCTGTTCCATGAGAGGAGCGAGAACTCTTCTGGCCAGGGCTCGCAGCTGTCTTACAGTTTCTGCGGTCGGGGCCTGATGCTAGCGGTGCCGACCTGCAGTGCAATGCGCTGAGCACGGGAATCTTAAGTACATACTCAATTCCCAGAAAAGGAACTAGCGTTCAGAAGCCAAAAAAGGGGGGAATGTTTTGTTTTCAGAAGGTCAAAGGGCCTGGAAGAAGAGCTCGAGGCCTGAGTGTCTCAAGCCTGTCGGGACTCTAATCAGGCTCCGAACAATCTGCAGCATCCACACTCCTGTCCTTGGTCCCGACTTGAGGAGGAGTTGAAAACACCAGGAGGTAGGGAAATAACTTCTCTTTTTCTCCCACAGTGTGAAGAAGCAAATAACTTTAAGCTCAATTTCTCATTTGTCAGGCGTGGGGGAAAGAACAGACGTTAAGATTCTTTCTATGGCTACCTTCCTAAATTTAAATATTCCAACAACCCACTCAAGAAGCACCAACTTTCGCCCACAAAAAACAAGGCGGGCTCAGCTTCTGTCTGCCTAGTGCGCAGACTCCACGTTAGACCCCCCCCCCCCCC